CACTTTTATGCACTCGGAAAGCTGTCGGTAAGTGTTCGCTAAAGGAGTTTACAAGCTCGACTGGGGCCCAGTGATTGTTGATTTTTTTTGGCTTACGACTATAGATTGATACGGACGAGGACTTACGGAGAGGAGCGTTTCTGCAAGAACGGGATTGAATCTCGTGAGCTTCCGTAACTTGGTTCGATCATGCGCAAAGTTGGAATTATACCCCAGATTCCTACCTACCTACCTACCTAGCGTACCCAACATAGGTACACAAAGGTAAATAGGTAGAGAGGTATATACTGAGATGTGACAAGGAAAAAAAAACAAGCAGGCCAGAAACGCCGAAAAAACACTCATACCAGACCGCTTGCTCGCACGATCACTCGCATGATCATCAAATTCCCGGGTCCGGCCGTTTTTACGGGGCTTCATCCGTATGTCAGCAACTGCCGTGGGTACGAGTGGACACGCTTGTTGAAGCTGTTCAACATCGTCGATGTTTTCCAATATCATGGCGGTCATGAATATAGCGTCATGATACGATGAGTGCTGGATTGCCGCTTTAAGCACTTGGAGAAGCGAGATCTACTTGACCTAGGTAGGTATTTACCTAGCTTTGTATAGAATCTTACCCGATAATGGGCAGCGATTGGGCACCAATCTCTGGTTCCATATAGATCCGTGCCGTCCAAGGACATGATTCTCGCGGTTATGGCCCCCGCAGCCAATATCTGGGAAGAGATATCGGTATAATGTGTCATCCTAGGTTCACATCAACCGTTCATCGGTCCCGGACGGTATTCCACCATGGATATTGGCAGGGCCAAGGCAAGAACAAGCAAATGAACGATAAGACAATGCTCTCTCTACCCCTCCATCCACTACTTTGCATGTCTGTCCAGGCAGGCATCAGTGATCCTCATATGGGGCAATCGGCTTACATGAGGATCGTATCCAGGAAACTGGTTATAGGCACGGTGCCTAGCAGTCTATGTACGGCATGTGATGTGTCTTCCTTCAACTCTCTGCGCATTTTGTGGGGGTCAGAGGTACATACCTCCCTAGTAGGTAGGGAACTAGGGAACCCTTCTTCACACGATGAACGAAGCCGTGTCTATAACCGTACCCGAGATCGCAGTGGATACCTAGGACAGGCAAGGTCGATAGGTATACCAAGCCTTTCCTTACCCCAACGCTACGCCCTCCCCCGTCTCAGCTTACCGAGCTTACGGGTCGTAATGCGGGCGTCTCATACATACGTATATTGCATGCACGCCTGTCACCTGTCATCTGGACGATCCATCATTACTTACCTACGTAAGATATGTCGACGATACTTTGGATATACTTCCGCTCTACCTCCCTACCAGGTACCTAGGTATCTAACCTAGGGCTGACTGACCTTTTGGGGGCTATGTACCTAGGTGGGTAAACAACACCCGTCTTATTTTCTAGGGAGAGATTCTAGAACGTACATGCCTTGAATGGTAGATTGGGTACTAGACAAGGTCATCAACTTCTCCTTTCGGGAATCGGAATGGAAAGTCCCATACGTGCAGCAGCGCGCGCTAATGCAGCTTTGCATTCCCGCACCTCACGGTGGGTGAGCTCACCAAGAAGTGTGTGTGTACTGGATCGTGGGGTGCAATCCGGGCCACTAGAAAATTAAGTTATATGATATAAGCTGACTGACGTTTAAGTAGGTAAGTAGGTAGGTAGATTATTCAGGATTTTTCCTTGTAAGGCTACCTACCTACGCAATTACCCCTTTTCGGATATCAACAGTTGCCTAGTAAGTCACGGGGGCTCTGTATACAAGTTGAAGTCGTTGTTGCGAGCCACCTACCTACATAGTTACGCCTTACACATGCTCATAAGCCGCATACGGGGAGTGATATTCCCTAAAACCGGGGACAAGGTTCCGGAGGACATTAGCTTTTGTAATCCTTACGCCTTGCTAACCACCCGCCCCCTCTCATCCTCCTTTTTTATTATCTCTCGCCCGGCCCCGTTTTGAGGTTATTCGGGCTGGCGATAATTATAAATGATGCGCATGAATAACCGTTGAACATCTTTTCCTACCTTGGCTTGGAAACTACCTAGTACTATGTAGGTATTCCTACCTACATCTAACATACATAACATAACATACATAACTACCTAAATCCATACATATATATCTATATATAGGGCAAATATAGTGGGTAAATTATTGTCCTCAGAGACAGCTACCTACCTACCTAGGTACTGTTGTATCACACCTCGTAAAAACACACCACATACGGCAGAACTATAAGATCGACATAATATCGGGACTAGCCACGCGCTTCGTCACGTACATACATACATACATACAAACATACATACATTTCTCCAGGTATAAGTTACCTACCTAGGTACCTAACCTAACCTATATAACGGCACTCTTATGACGAAAGCAGTCTAGACCAGAGGATCGACGTAAGCAAACCCGCGTGTGATATGTACATATGTACTAGGTAGGTAAAGGTAGGTGGGTGTGTGGGTGTTCCGAGTCTGGGTTCATCGGAACCAAAAGAAGAAGAGAAAAAAATAAAGTGCTACCTACTGCTGCCACCACTACCAAAGAAAGGTAAGCAGAGGAGAAGGAGAAAATGGGGACTTTTAGTCAGAGTGTAACCGACAGTCGAGATCAGTAGACCTGAGAGAAATTTAAGAAACAAAACACCAAAAGAGAAATGAATGAATGGCTTAATTAATTAATTAAAATATAAAGAAAAAAGTGACGACAACGGCGGCGGGCGAAGGCGGTCCCGGGCTTTCGTCAGATCTGCATGGAGGGATGAGCGCTAATGCGGGCGTGCGTTGCGTTGCGTTGCGTTGCGTTGCGTGAAGCTCCGATGCAGGCCATTTCATTGCCCGCTGTAACTACCTACCTACCTACCTACCTACCTAGTACATAACTACCTATCCATACGGACCGGTTCGTTCCTTGGCGGCCCCCCTAATATTGATCAAATGTTCATTTTCCAAATGTTGTTTTGCGCGTTTTGGACATAACACACATAACATGTCTAGCTAGTGTACCTATAACAAATTCTGTTTTTTCCTATTATATAGGTATCTAGGTTTATATTTACTACTACGTCGTGGTAAGTACATAGGTAGGTAGGTGCCCTAGTCGATGTCAAGAAGAAGAGGAGGGGGGGGGGCGTTGGGGAACTCGTACGTCTATCCTAGGAACCTATCTATCTACCTGCCTATGCCTTACATACCTCAAGGTTACCTTACCTTGCCTCGCCTGTTACCTGCCGTGCTTATATCCCGCAAACCTGTGCCGTAAGCTCGGTAACCAACTGCAACACCTTGTTTTCTTCCCCCCCCCCCCCCCCCCTTTTTTTTTTCCTTCCCTTCCTCTTTTTGTCTACGTAGAATTCCGCCTTTCTTTTTTCTTCCTCCACTCCGCCCCTAACCTACCTAGCCATTGGAAGAAGAAGAAGAAGAGTGGTTTGTTGTAATATACGGGCTGCCTGGTTTATGCACGTGTCCTGCAAGCAGCAAGTAGGTTGAGTAAATACAGCTACCAACGAGCCGCGCGCATTATCGTATTGAGTTGAGCACGCTCTAGTTACGAAATACATACATACATACCTACCTGCATTGGTCCTGCAAACCTTGACGTATAAGGCTGATGATGGAACAAGGACAAGGGGAGGAGGGGGAGGATGGGAGGGGGGGAAACGTGGGGGGGGCGAACGCCATGCTACCCTAGGTAGGTAGGTAAGCACCTACTTAGCTATGTATGTCAGTGTGGAGGTGGAGGTGGAGGGGGGTGTTCAATGTTGGCCCGGCGGAAAAGGCACAGCAACGGGGCCGAGCCGACGATCCCGGGCATCTATGTGACAGGATCTGTAAAATTGTCGTTAGCAGCTTGGAGGGCACTGGATAGTATCTAGGTATTCGGTTTTAAAGTGTAGGTTGGCGCATCTGCTGTAAGTAAATAGGTACTTTGTACCTCAGAGAGAAAAAAAGAAAAGGGGGGGGGGGGGTTGGAGATAGCTTCATGAGGGCTGCTTATAGATTTCAAGCCGTATTACGCATCATATGGGCACGACACATGGCTCACTAGATACCTATCTTCGTATATTATCATATTTCTTCGTTCTAGAATGTGATTGCATCCATGAAGCAAACAGACATAAACGTCCGGTGACATGCTAGCTAACCTAAGCTATAAGAGAGTTTAGCAAGCAACTGAAAGCCATCTAACTCGACTCTCCATCCCACAGGAATCGAAATCACCTCAATGCCTATAGCCATAAGGTATTCATTTTAGGAATCATCTTCAAAAAGTAGACATATAAGTTCTCCTGAGCCCCTAATACCATCCCCCCTTTTCTCTTCCTCCGCCTAACATATAACCTTCATAAACTCCATCTGTTCATCGAACCAAGCTAGATCCTTCACCGAGCTGGGCAGTTCCAGAAAAGCCATTGAATGCCTATGAGAATAACTGACGGTCAAGAGACAGTGGTATGTAGTGATATGTGTGACTCTCTTCCAGAGAGGGGTATTTGAGAGCCGAGAGCTTTTAGACTTCCCTAGGTTAGCTAGTTAGTCCAGCAACGCATACCCGAATCGGTCTATAGACGAAGCTTTGTATAACATACGATAACCAAGTAAGCGGGAAAGGGAGATTTTCCACGTGCCTGTGAGAAGTAGCAAGCGAATGTTGTATTGGCCCAAGGTTTGAAACCTGCCTTCTTATCCATCCCATATTTCTTATTCATCCCATATGATAATAATAAAAGGGGGAGGGGGCAAACACTGAACCTGGATGATCGCTTATTCAAAAATAACTTCGTTCACTGCCTTTAGTGCCTATTAGGTAGGTATTACTTCACCTCACTAATCTGGCGTGCTAATTAAAGGGGTATAATGCAATGCGGGCTCCTGGCCTAATGAATATCCTCATAACTCGTCTCCGTATACTTGTGATGGGCTGTGCAACACAACAAAACACAACCCCTAGATCACAACGCCCAAGTCTGTGACGGCTTTAGCGGGCGCTTACCCTTAGGGTCATCTGTATTCCTCCTACGCCTAGACAGCCTTTCGAGTTGTCTCCCTTCCATCCTTTTCGACATGACCCGCTGTAGACTCATTGGTAGATCTTCCACAACATCATTGTCTTCATAGTGAGTTTCCGTGGCAGCATCACCGCCCCATATACCTGTAGCCCGGCGCCTCAACGTAGCATCGCTGCTACTAGGCTTCACAGTCGCAGCGGTGCCTGTTGTTGCTGTGCCCTGGGACTGCGACTTTCCGAGTGTAAACCCTCGCCTTCTGCGTATGAAGCTTGCCCCCGATTTGCTTTTGATCTTCTGTGCCTCTTGCAGCTCGGCATCAGCTGCGGCAGTTGAAGCACTTGCTTGGTCTGATTCGCGTTCTTTGATTTTTCTAACATATTCATGGAACTTGGGACGCTCCAACATTCCGCTCCTAAAGGCGTTGACCCCAACTAGCAATTTGGCGAGGTCTACGAGTTCTTCCAAGTACTCAATAATCTCCACTATATAGTGTAGTCAGTATGTTGTACCAATATACTATAGATAGCAAGTATATTGGGTTGCGTTATCCAGGAGTTAACTTCTTGAAATCCGCGACCCCTGAATGATTACAAAGAGTAACAAGGGATATAATCAATCCACTAGAGAAATGAAGGTGTAGAGTATATATAGAATCGTTACTTACTAATTCCTGCTGAACTAGCGTTCCAAGACATAAAACTATGCCGAGTCATTGATTTGATAATGTGTGTATGAAACGGAGCAGTGCCATCATCCGTACTAGCGGGGGTTTGAGCGCCGCTGGTATACGCCGATTTAGTTGCGCGCTCGAGAAGTAATTCTCGGACTCGGCTGATGTATCTTAATTGGGCTACGCGACTAGATGGTAGAAACTGTGGGAGAGGTAGCCGCGTCGTCAAGGCTTCGTGAACAGCAAATAGAGTAAGCATTATACTGGCTGCCACGTTGCGGCGGTAAGGCAAGACTTCAGCGTTTAGTTCCTCGAGCACGCCACTCCCGTACGCTTTGCGGAGATGCAACATGTTGTCCATGCGATCAATGATTTGAAACAGAACATAGATCATCTCGCCGTAGATTAATGCTTGGCCCTTAAAGCTCCCTTTAATCCTTGGCTCCGTTAAACAGAAAGGCAGAAAAGTGCGGGCTGCGGAAAGTGCTTGCTCGGCCTTTTCTTTTGCATCTTTGAAGTCTTCGTTGATCGCGACAGATTTGGTATCAATGTTTCGGGGCGAGTCGATACCTACGGCTACCGATGCCTCCATTTGTGATATCTGCTGAATACTCGAAGCTAAAGACTCGACAAGTCTATCTCGAGCTCGGACAGGGAACAGAAGCATCTCAACAAGGAGTGCAATCGTGCCTCCAACGAGAAAACATACCATTCTTTTGACGAATATCTCCCATTGTTGATCCCCGCCCGCTTGGAGTATTGTTGCTAATTTGTTAGACCATTTTACAGCTTGAGGATAGCAATTCAGGTAGGTACTTACCAATTCCAACCACAGACATGCTCACAATAGATATGATGCCTGTTTTGACGAATGGCGTACCAAGGTGGATGTATGAAGAAGGAATGATGCCAAGTACTAGGATGACAACGGCAACAACACGATTTCCTTGTCCGATTTCGTAAGCAAGAAAGCCCATAACACAGCCAAATATGACACCAACAACTCTAAGGAAGAAGCCTTGGAACGAAGTTCCCACCGAAACTTCAAAGACGAGGATCAACTGGAAAGTCACCCAGGAACCACGAAAAGAATTATACCAGGCATTGTATGACGGCACAAAAGCAGGCCAGGTAACAATATAGGCGGCTATACACATTTTAAGGGCGAAGGCGAGGTCGTCAGAGTCGGCAAATAACTCAACTGTATCGGCGGCAAGTCCGCGCAACCACAAAACGTTGCTGGCTTCGGACTTTAGCGGTCCTTTCCGTTTGGGTATCTTGCCCTTCTCGGGGATTGTGGACTGTCTCCTAATCAAGTGGCCAACTTCTTCGTCTTTAGGGTACCTTAGCAACTGCTCGTTGCTATCATTTGGGTCATCATCGGGTCCATTCGGGTCTTCCCTCAAACCGTGACCAGTCCGTGCTTCCTTTCTTGCATTCTCTGGGAGGGCGGTTATGTCATGCTCGCCACCGGTTGCTAGCCACTTCTTCCAAGAAATATTAGGCCAATAAAGTCGACGACGTTCATGCCTCGCTTGTCTTCGCTCGACAAGATTTCTAGAGTGTTTCAACATATCCATTACTTGGGCAGCCCCCTGTCTCACGCTAATCAGGAATGATGAGATCAGGTGTGTCTCCATCCTAGGCATGATATCACCCTACGTTTTTGAGAGGTTAGCAACCCCTTTTTCATAGGATTCCAAAATGCTTTACGGGGGTTTAAATATAACAATACGTTTGATCCAATGCATGGTAAACAAATATGAACTCACCTTTCTTTTCCGGCCATACTCTATGGAAGCCGCATGTTCCAGTGCTGCCGCGGAGTCTTGGTCGAATTGCGTTAATGCTTCCGCAAAAAGATTGACTCGAAGGTCGATTTCCTCCATTATAATCCCCTTGGGTGTTGGGGCACCCGAAGGCAAATTAGGTGCATCGTAGCAATAGGCTAGGCACGTGGCAATAACATGAACTGCTGCTTGAATATGGACTTGAAGAAGTTTGGTAGGGTCCCGAACTTGACACAGAATATGCTCTAGGAGTTCAATGTCACCAGACTCGATTTCTCGGATAGGTTTTACGAGCTCGATCTTCTCTTCGTACTTGGATTTCCGCCGGGTCTTTTTTCTCTCATCTTCGGATGTTTCGTCACTACTGTCGCTATCAGACTCACTACTCGAGCTAGAATTCGAGTCTGGTTCGGCGGCTTCGTTGTCAGTCTTTTCGTCGGGCGATTTCGGTTCGTCCTCTCCGTATTGATGTCCTGCTAATGCATATTTGCTCTCACAAGCATTGATAAGGCATATGGTAATTTGAACAAGGCGGGACATCAAAGTCATACTGACTGACTTTAAAGATCGCGGGGGGAGGACCGTATATACAAGCTCGAAGTTACACTCGGCTTGGGCTTTCTTACAGCTACCAAGCTGAGCTCTTAATTTTGCTTTCTTGTCGGTCAAAGCTATTAGTCTAGCTCGCAACGTCATAGATGCCTCATTCTTCTTTTCCGCGTCCTCGTCATCCAATGGATTAGAGTCGGCCATGAACCAGTCCCCAGATTCTTGAAATGAGTTGATGGTCGCGTACAGTGTTTCTATCGTTGACCTGCCTAGAAACCCGCTTGAGAATTCGGGAAAGATGGTCACATTTACCATTATAATGATACCGACCGCAGTGAGGATCGGGTACGCTATATTCGTGACAATAGCAGTCGATATAGAAAGAGCAGTACTCGTCAAAATTGTGATATTGATGAGCAGGAAGAAAAACACAAACATGAACAGTCTAGGTGCTGCCGAACGCAGAACGCCGTGTAGAAGCAACGCCAGAGTGAAGAATATAGCCCTGATGGCCCAAGCGGCCTCAATGTTAGTTGGGTAAACGAGGCTGGAAAGGTATAGTCCTAGGATACCCCAGCCGATTCCCACGAAGGTTCCAGTTGTAATCAGCATCAAAACCTCGACCAATTGCCCAAATCGTTGTCCAGGATGACCAAATACCGAAGCCATAGCTCCTAAGAAGGTAGAATTTCCATATACAGCTATCACTGCTGGAATTAAACCAATTATCAGATTAATCGTGGTGCAGACAGTATTCTTGACCATCCTCCTCCAGAGGTTGTTTTTCTGGAGGTTTGACGCGACTGAGGCCAGCCATTGTTGACATCGGCGTTGGAGCCTCCGCTGATAACGATTAGCTATTGTCATGATATTTGTGATGGTCCCAGAGAAAAATCCAAATCCAACTGCGGTCGATATTTGAGTCGATTCATAATGGTATTAAATAGCCGGATACAAATCGATCGGAAGCGATCGAGAGCTGTGTGTAAGTTTACACTTGTGACTGGTGGTATGACGGCAATTCTTGGCTGAGTAACGACCTATATACGCATCTGAATGGCGATAGTTTCCATTCCTGATTGAAAGGAATTGACTAGTAATGCACTTATAATGGTGTGTGTGATGTTGCTAAGGTTTCCTCCCTTTCAAATGTTCTTTTTTCAAGATACGGAATGGAAGATTGAAGCTAGAAACACTAAAAACTGTAAACACCTACGGTGACCTACCTAGCAGCTGCGTAGCTACTCACTTGAGGTACCTAACCTACTGTAGTAAGTAAATGATTTACAGACCCCACACCTACCCCAACTCATCTCGTTTCGCTGTGGATCTTGGCGCTCCATGAATGATATCATCCCGAAGCACCTCACAACGCCTGATCTTGGTTGTGGGTGTTTTGTGCTACGGTTACACAAACAAGGGGAGCTGCATTATTTCTGACAACTACTAGGTACATGTGTACAATACATAGTTAATACTACCTACATGTACTAACCTAACCTAGGTAGGTACGCAACTACACGTCTTACTAAGTGCTATCAGCCTATCACAGGCTACAGCCCTTCTATCAAAGGACAGGTGCATGCGCGTCGCGGGGCTCTTGTGAGCGTGCTATTCCTCGGTAACCTTTCGATCATCAAACACCTACAACACCAATAAGGTGTTCTTTTTAGAACAATCCCACAGGCCTTCGGGCTACGTATCATCAAGATGCCTCCATCAGCAAATCTGATTGTGAGCCCTTTATTTTATTTAGCTGACCATCTTTCTTTTTGGAAAACCCCCCAATTACAACATCTAGACAGCTAATCAACTCTTTTAACCCCGCAGACGAAGCTAAAGGTCCAGCTCAAGCTATCCATCGCGCGATTACGCATGGTGCAGCAACGCGATGAAGCGATGGGAAAGACACAGAGGAGGGCAAGTGAGTAGCGTCAAGCAAAGGCCTCACATCTCTGAACATTTACACGAATAGGTACCTAGGTAGGCATGTATCATTACTAACCCCTGTTATAGTGGCGCAATTGCTTGAGGTTGGCAAGATCGATTCGGCCAGGATAAGAGTCGAGAACATCATCCGATCCGACATCACTACAGAACTCCACGAGATCCTCGAGCTATACTGCGAGTTGCTATTGGCACGAGCTGGCCTGTTGGAAGGACCAACATGCGATCCCGGCTTAGAAGAGCCCGTGAAGAGTATTATATATGCCGCACCTAAGACAGAAATTAGGGAACTGCAACAAGTGCGCGCGCTTCTTGCTGAGAAGTTTGGCAAGGAATTCGTGATATCTGCTATGGATAACTCGGATCAGAAGGTATCCGAGAAAGTTGTGAAGAAGCTAAGCGTCGTTCCACCGCGCGAAGAACTTGTTCAGGGCTACTTGGAGGAGATCGCAAGAGCATATGGAGTCGACTGGCCGAAACGAGCCAGGGAAGAATTGGGCGAGCCGCCGCAGTTTGTAGATGACGACCCGAGCGATGACCCGAGTGGTGACCAAGCGCAAAAGGTGCCCGAGAAGACTTCCCCGATTAGTAAGGATGCTCAAAACAGAGAGGCCCTGAGCCGTGAAACGCCGCCTCGGTCCTTGGCCTCAAACGTCCCTCTGCATGTTAATCCGCCAAGCCCATCCACGGACAACCCTCATCCTAAAGTTACGCTGAATTCAGTAGAGCTAAGGCCTTCTAAGAAAATGGTCGATGCAGGTATCTCAAAGAAGAGCGAAGACAAAGCAGGGGGGGCGGGGGATGGTATACCTGGTCTTGACGAATTGGCGGCTCGTTTCGCCGCCTTGAAGCATTAATGTTTTTTGGCTCATAAGGCTGGAGCTGCGACCTACTGTTTTCCTCTTTGAAGTGTATGGGCTTTTAGGTACAGATTCTGGATATCTCTCGACTTAAGTATCAATATAACCATCGAAATCCACCAAACTACTTAAAGTCACTCCTGATACACTTACCCACGCACTACAGTTTCCTTAAAATCCCCTGATCGCCCACACAATAACTCTACCTTATATAGGATATTCGTATACATTGAAGGGAAGGGATTTAGCCCAGATGAACATCAGTCTGGATATGTTTAAGCCAGTGGCGCCTCGGGATATTCTACAAGCCTACCTAGCCTGCTTGATTGCTTGATTTCTCATAGTAAATGATCTCATTGCTACTATATACAAATACTTACACGTACTTGCTAGATTACCTGACTTTCATTGGAGGCAAATTAGTAGGTAGTAGTAGTCACTTGCCTTTACAATTACTATATCGTATACTTACACAATTCTCAGCATTATTGCTAGTAGCATTTATCTAGGTACTTACCCTATCTAGTAGGTAGTATCGTTCACTGCCGTCAAGACCTCCTTTTATCAAATAACGGGGACATACAAGGAGGTCTTGAAACTAGATATGTTCTCATTGTTGTCTTCCCTAGTTGTTTGATGTCAATGAATTTATCAGTGCTTACACCCCTATGTGCTATCTCCTAGAATAAGCCCCTTTATATTGGAAAGTACCTAGCTTACCTTTCCAAAGGCACAAGTACAATGTAATTACATGAATACTATCGTCGAACCCACCAACCCCTAATGATTATGCGCTTACATACACCATAGGAAAAGCATAAAAATAGTACGTGAGGTATACGTCCTTGAAACGATCAACAAGTACTTAGCAAACATAGTAGTATACATAGGTATAGTTAAGGACGGTGAGCTACTGATATAAAAAGAGCATTTGAATATACCAATAGGTGGTATCTTAAGCAGTTTGGTCCCTCAAGAGCAGCCTCAAGTCTTTGTTGGTTGCTTTCGTCACTGCAACGGCCAATGCTGCCCCCCCCCCCTTGTTGCTACTTTCGAAAGATCCATTACCAAATCGACTTTGACCATGTGTAGGTTTTCAAACAAATTCTCCGTTTATATCGACCAATATGTGGTTCATAATCCTTGTTTCGATGTTCTTGTTTTGGTTAGTGTACTCAAAGATTATCGACATCGTCACCCTTGTCGTCGCCTTTGATGTAGCTCTCCCCCCTTTTTCACACCAAGTCTGACGACACCAGCGGTGACACTCGGTAGTAGCTTACTTGGAACCTTGAAAACTAAGATGGCTTATTCCCTGGGTAGCTTTATGCTCTCTTCTTCTTTTGTTTACTTAGTTTCTCAAGTTCTACTTCCTTCCATCTTCACGTCCCACATCCTACACTCTTTCCCCATACTTTAGCTCTTCATCCAATTCATCAATCTAACAAGATCATTGTCCAAGGGAGTGTCTAATCCTCTAGGATCAACAAGACTCCATCTCTAGTATTCGAAGACCTGCAGCTCATGTGCATTTAGGTACAAACGGGCACAATTGACCGCTACTCACAGGTCATCTAGACCAGTCTAGACCAATACACCCCCTTATTCAATACGAACATTGGCCAACTTGTTTCTCATATCCAAATTGACAGGCTCCGCGAGCTTGGAACACATACTCTCCTCATGATGGCACTCGTCGGAGCCATCATGGATCTCACTCTGGAGCTACAAGCTCTAGATGTTGCAGATCTCTCTGAGATTACTTTGGAAGAACTTCGCATCAAGATTAATCATGCTAATCCCTTAGCAATTCCCAAATATCGTGTGCTTCAGGTACTGATGGGATGGCTCCATGAGCAGATTGTGAAGGACCTCCAGCAGGATATGTTATCCGGCTTCGCGAACCTGCTACTGACGGGCAATGGCCTAACGCAAGGTCCATTCGACGAGATTGACGTGAAAGTAACATTGGAGCAGTGGCTTGTCAATGACGCCGCTAAGAATCCTACAAACCGACGCAGATACCAAATGGTCAAGCAAGACCTTTATGAGCTATGCACACAGGTCAAGCTTGATAGCTCCCAAAATCAACACCCCCAAGAATCTACCCTGGAGCATTCAGTGAATTCAGTTGACATGCAAGGATTACAAATATTTAAGGATCATAAAGCCAGGCGTTCCAGGGGGCGGAAGAGAAAAGGTAGTAAGAAAACTACACTGGGAAAGGGGGAAGGGCCCCAAGGAGACAATCCTTTGAATACGAGCCAGACCATGGTCAAGCCCAAGGCGGAAGAGGGTGATAAGAATGAGAGTAAGAAGGATAAGAGTGAGAAGGGAGAAGAATTGAGCAGAACTTCAGTAGGTGGTATGGAAGATGCGGTGGCCACTGGTATGGTACCTGCCAAAAGAGCAAATACTTCAGGTTCGCACCTGACAGATAATGCCTCAAACGACCCTCATACGGCAAGAGCCTCAGGCACGCAAGGCACGCAAGGCACCACCGTGCAAGGTTTACCAGAGAGCTTTCCTTCTAAACCCAACCGCCCTCTTCCTCCTGGATATGTTTGTTCTTATTGTCACCAACCAGGTAAATAATCTTGAACCTTGACACCTTTCAACATTTTTTCAATTCCTTTTTTTTTTTTAAAAAAAAAGAGAAGAAAAAAGAAGAAAAAAAACCTACCCGCTAATTTTGACCTTCGCCTTTATTATAGGACACTGGGATCAAAATTGCCCAACCAACATTGAACCAAAGGATATACCTGGAACCTCGGGGCAACCCAATCCAAGTGATAACGACAATAGACGATATATTCGCTCACCAGCTCCATCCCCCGACTTCGGTGAGCAATACGAACGAACTACGGATGACAAAATGGTCCCACCCTCGCTAGCTTCGGGATATATGCCATCCAATATGACTTCCGGAAACGGGTCTGCCCATGGCTCTCGCAGCCCTCGTGATCATGCGTCGGATGACCGCCGCCCGCAAAGCCCAACAGGACCCAACGGAGGTCCATATCCCTACTTCGACAGTCAGATTCGAGACGCCGAATACCTAGCTCTCCAAGTTCTGAAGGACGCAGACAAGGCCAAGAATGGGGCAACTATCGACCAAGAAGCACTTGATATGGATCCCCTTGCCAATCTCCCGTCAAAGGTACTCAAGAAGATGAAGAAGGGAGGTCATACTGCAGATAACGCGACATCGGTCCCCAAGAACCCGGCGGAGGAGCGCGCGAAAAAACAAGCTGATGAATTCCTCGACAATCTCGCAGCAAAGTGGATAGCTGAAGGACGAATCGTTCCAGACGCTACCGGCAAGCTTGTCCTCGCAACCCCTCAGCCAATGCCACCTGGTGAGATGATGGCTAATGTCGCCGGCCGGGGCAAAAAGGTTCGTGCTGTTCAGCATATGCCCACATTGACAGAGGCCAAGGATCAGCCAGTCGAGGGCCAGGCTGGATCGACATCAGCCAGTATTAAGCCAATCGATGATCAGACCAAAACGGCAGAGACCAAGGGCAAGATGGCAGAGACCGAGGGCAAGCAAGTGGAGAGCCAGGATGGATCGAGTGCAGCTAAAGAGACCCCAGTTGAGGATGAGACTGAATCGCAAGAGACCAAGTATATCATCGCTAAAGAACCCGAGTACAGCGCTGAGGTCGTTGCCCTCTTTAAAGGCGAACCGGTCCCCATTGTCAGCCGCAAAGCCAAGAGAAAGACGGCTGCTGAGATGATAGAAGAGACGGAGAAGAACGTGGGTGGCCAATCTGGAACTAAAGAACCCAAGGGCCTCTAAGCACCACACGAAGTTCCTTCGACGAGTTATCCGCCCTTGAGATTCGTTGTTTCCCTGATTCTACGAAGCACGACGATAACGAGCAACGACGTAACGTTGCACGAAGAAGATACCCGAGATTTGATGATGACGGCATCTTATACGATGCTTCGCAGTTATTTCGATGCCATTGATATTTCTGGCACTGCCGACCCCGATTGCAAACGTCGATGTTCTAATATTTCGAAGCCATTGATTTTTCTGGCACTATCGACCCAAACTGCAAACGCCGATTTTCTATTATTTCGTGAAGCTCTAATTCTTCTCGCTTGATTCCATTAATCGCCGGAATCTCTCATCCCAGTTATTCTGAGATACCACCATAGGCTTCGCATCTACAACTATTTAGTTGTTTCGCAGTCAAAAGATTTCAGGTCGCAAGATCAACACACCACCGTTGGCTCAGCCCTGATTACAGCAATACCCCCATGGTGTACTATATCTTCAAGGCTACCTCCAACAATAATTTGTGGCTTAGTGGAAGGGCAATCACTCGGCTATTTACCGAGGAAAACCATCACCCAGAAGCTATACCGTCGAGGAATTCCCGAAACCCGGATGAAGTCCGCATCCCATATCCGTCATCGTGAAGGTGGTTGAACGTGATACTCGTCGCAGTTTGCGTTTCAATTCATCATGGAATAGGAATGGTCAGGTCTGGATAACGAACTATGCAACACTATAGGATAGGGTGGCTAGGTTCTGATGTACCTAATAATTCAAGTTTTCCTTTCTTTTCTAATCGTTGTAACGATCGTAGATAATGCGCTGTTCTCGTGAGTGACTCGATGCGTGCTTTGATAACCGAAGGATGCTCGTACTCGATTAAATCTCTCGCGCACACGGCACTAAACCTGGATGGCTGGAGGTAATAATTCTCGATAATGTGACATGTATGCGTACTCCCCATCCCCTACCTAGGTAGGCAATGAATTTCCAAAACGCCAGACACCTTCGCCTGCAAGTGTAGTGAACCTAGGTAGGTAGGTATTCACGAATTATTAAGCAACCTTAGCCCATCTTATTACACCTACACCCTCGAGCCATTTATATACACGTTGCTGTGTTTTCCTCCTCTCGTCTCTTTTTCTCTCCTTCTCTTCCTCGTAGTACGTATTAATTTACTGGGTAAGCCTATGAAACCTCGCGCGGAGGATTGATTGATTGGTGGGAATGGAAAGCGATAAGTTCGGGGGGAATCTGTGTGGTATTTTGGTGGTTTATTTTTTTGTTATTTTCTAAAAGCGAAAGCTTTACTCGAGTTTATCGAGGTGCTCGAGGCGCGTAAGGACGACCTGCTTGGAGGTCTCCTCGATCTCGCCGGCTAAGAAGACTTCATCGAGGATGGCGTAGACCTTGTAGAAGTTGAAGACGAGGTCGAGCTCGCAGACGTTGCCGAAGAAGGCGTCGAGGACCTCGACGAAGAAGTGGATGGCCTCGAGGTAGGCGAGCTCGTTGTCGTTGGTGTCGACGCAGGCGCAGAAGAAGAGGCCGGCGTACCGCCGGTACACGATCTTGTAGTTGCGGAACTCGACGAAGTTGGACTGGTACTTCTGGTCCCGCGGCGCCACCAGCCGGTGCACCTCCCCCTTCAGCTTGATCTTCTCCTCGTCGCTGTACGGCACGTACCACTTTGCTAGCCGCGTCTTGCCTCTGTTTTGGGTTGTAAATTGGTCAGCGATTAGTTTAAGTCCCTAGGTGAGTGAAGTAGGGTGCGCGCGCGACGGAGAGAGATGGAGATGGAGATGGAGATGGAGATTGGAGAGGATGCATCATGGAATTGGGTAGGTATATTAATTATACTGACTGTCGGTTTTGTATTAAGATAAAGGACAACATTTTGGCCTACGTATGTGAGTTCGCGATGTGATATCGCGGGCCAAAAAGGTACTTTTGTCGGAGAATGCGGATTGAGGTTTCAAGCATGGAAGTTGAATGTTCGGGTTAGATGGATACAGGCACGGTCTCTAACTAGGGGGTTTATTCAATTTGGTGGGGTTCGTTAGGGTGGTTACAGCACTAAAGAGGTGCATGTGCTTACGAAATTAGCACGGTGTGGCTTGTAAGTGCAACCCTGCACAGACAGTGAGTTACGCTACGCAAGGCTCACCTGCTCTATCCCCAGGAGGTAGATGAACCCAAGTGCCCCCCTGTAGATCACCTCAAACTCCCCCCATTTTAGGCCTAGTGTCCCGCTATAAAGCCCACGCAGAATGGGGCTCGGTCACACGAAAATCCGGAATTTAGCGGGCTGTAATTGGCCACATGCTTTACAGGGGCCCACCTGATTATTTGAACTTTCGAGTCTTATTTTTTTGAGTTTTGCCTTTGCACCCAGGTACAAAGAAAACGGGCTGCAAAAAGCCCAAGCTTCAAACCTTCAATCAGCCCAAGCTGCCGCTTTAGTGCATCCTATATCATTGGAATCGCCTCAATTAGAGCTTCCAAACAATATATGTTTCAGATTAATGCGATATCTGAATCTGAAGTTATTTGAATTTAAAGATTAAGAAGCACCTGAAAAAAAATACATCTGTAATCGGTACCTTGATCACGTGATGGCCCTCGGCTAGCGTTAAAAGTGCTTACTTCATTCAACCCCGAATAACTTCGCAACCACCCGTCGCATTTCTTTGAAACATATATCATTTGGAAGTGCTAATTGAGGCGGTTCTAATGATACCGGTTGCATCAAGATGCATCCATTGAAAGAAAAGTTATTAAGGATAGTATGTTAGAGGCTAGCTGGAGAGCCCGGACCAGCGCTATGTACTAGGGTGCGGATAAGCCTCCGATAGCAATTGATTTTTAATTAATTAATAATTAAATAAGAATTGATTAAGAATTGATTAATAATCGATTAAAAATTAATTAATAGTTAATTAATTTAAAATTAAAATATATAAAATATTAAACTTAATAATAATTATAATTATTTTTTAAAGTTATGTTTATAATTAATTAATAATTAATTATGAATTTTTCGTTTTTGAAAAAATAAACCTTAAGAGATAAAAAGTTGAACCCAAGTGCCTAAAAAAGCAGTTGAGCCCAAGTGCCTGTCCGAATGAGGTATAGTCGTCGGCCCAAAATGGGGGGAGTTTGAGGTGATCAACAGGGGGGCACTTGGGTTCATGTACATCCTCCTCTATCCCTTTGCCTGCTGGGCCAGCCCCAGTGGGTCTAAATTGGAGAAAATATCACGTGAAGCTCCAATTCAATCCTTGGATACATCGAGACACATATGGCAAGATCTTATTGACAATTTTCTCTTCTCAACAGATAGCTTTATGTCAGTTCTCTTCAATTTAAAAATAGATAAATCAATTATACAGTTGCAAAGGAGTATGTGCATATTTTTTTCAAAGGAAAATAAGCCCTGGAGGCTTGATGGGACCTGTTTTGAATCATTTCTCAGTGACAAATCCAAACTGAGATGAGGCTAGCCTATAATGGCTAGCGTATGTCCCTCCACGTGATACCCTTCAACAGCATCAATTGACATTTCATATCTTTAACTCCAAACAGAATAAGCGTATATATACGTATATATAGTGCAACTTCTCTTATTACAATAATATGCTTAATATTTATATATGTACTTTTTTCACTTAATTGTATACCCTTTTGAAAAAGTTATTCAGTTTTAAAGACATTGGCCTCTTAATAAGCTGGGTGTCGGCAAGCTTCGCTACTAACCGAAAATGGACTAGCGTTACAAAGCAATTGTAGAAAGTGCATTGTATCCCTATGTAACTTAAAAGATTGTATGTACATATATTGCACTATAAACTGGGTGGGAAAGCAAGTACTCTCTAACGGATTTATTTCATTGGATGCATGCCTCTTTTTTTCTCCAATTTAGACCCACTGGGGTTGGCCCAGCAGGCAAAGGGATGCAGTCCTTTGTCACGTAATACTACTAGTACTGGAACTTCCAAGATAATGATAATAAAAAAAGTAAAAATTTCAACAGGGAAAAGAATGATTTAAAGGTACATTGGTACTATTTACATTTAAAACACAAACTTCTCACCAACCAACTCCTCGCTCATCGTCCACAACCTTTCCGCAAAGTCCGGGTTCGTCGCCCATGCCTTCACCCACTTCGGGTCTGTCGTCAACAGGGTATCATTCATATAAACGCCCTCCTTGACTAGATTAGGGTCCAGAGCCGCACGGAGCGTAGTCCCGCAGCCCTGCTGCAGCGTCTTGTACGGGTCGAGCTCGCGAGCGTCAGCCAGCGACATGCCCGTGACCCTTCGGGACGCCTCGTCAAATTTCTCCATAAACTCATCCCCGATCATCTGCTTGGTGTAGCATTGGAGGTTGGTGCTGATGCGTCCCGCATGCACGGCGAAGGCGTGGGTGCCGCGCGAGGCGAGGCTACCGCATACAGGATGATGGCGCTCTTGGATTGCCCGTAGCCCGAGAACTCGCTGTACGAGCCCGGCTCGGTGAAATTCGGGTCCTCGAACCGCACGCCCGTGAATCGGTGCCCGGAACTGGTGAGTAGGACTATTCATGCGCCTGGCCCGGCCGCAAGGATCTTGGGCGTGAGCTTGTTGGTAAGTAAGAAATGGTCGAGGTGGTTGGCTTGCAGCTGTGATTCGAGCCCGTCCTCCGTAAGCTTGAACGGAGTGGCCATGACGGCGGCGTTGTTAATCACCACGTCGATCTTGGCGATCTCGGTGTCCTCGCGGATGATTTGTGCGGCCTTCCGGACGCTCTTGAGAGAGGTGAGGTCGGCTTCAACAAACTTGGCCTTGACATCAGCATTGACCCCCTTGATGGCGTCGATGGTTGCCTGTGCCTTCTCTGCGGAGCGCCCGACCACGATGAGCATTGCGGGAGATTCGGCTGCAAGAGAGACAAGTGTCTCGGCACCGATGCCGCCCGGAGTTGGACCGGTTAGGAGAACTAGGTAGACATTATTAAATCTATAGCATCCCATCTATCTTGGGAGAGCAAACTCACAAGCCCTTCCCCTTCAGCGAACTTGTGGACAAGGGTCAGGCCCTCGGTGTATTGATCATAGGTAGACATGATGGCTATGATGGCTATTGCGTTCTACTCTCGCGATGATGCCTCGTTTTAGTTGGGTGTTTTTCTATGTGCTGTCCGGGTGTGTTAATACCTACCTTAGGTACCTATCTTGAGGTGAAAAATATGGTCATTCACTCTCATCGCCATCATCATCGCCAAGACTTTATATAAGATCACCGATGCATTCCCGTTCGAATTTAAAGATGCTATCGCCGGGGTATAACGCCGGGGACAGGCATTCTCTTCAGTACGTGGCCCCCTTCGATCTTACCCGGAAGGCATCCTGGCAATGATGGGGTTCTTAGTTGAGGATTAGGAATAGTAAGTGCTTGCTAGCAGATATATAGTATAAAACTGACAGTACTACTATGCATTTACTATACCTAGCAATAATTCAAGATCAAGGCCTGTGTTTGTTGTGCTTCCGTTCATTGGGAAATTCAACGGCGTCAGTTACTTAGGTTAGGTACCTACATACCTAAGGTTAGTTACATAAGCTAGTTACAGTACAAGGTAGAGACACCTAATCGTCATTTGTCCAAGCCACGATCCGCACAGATCTGTGAACTGTGGCGCATAACTACCCTAACTACCCTAACCTAGACCACTGCTGGTACTGTATCTCTTAACTTGAACTTTGAACTCAGCGCTTGAACTCACCTCGACTTCTCAAGTCCCCCAATTGGCAATAACTTAAGCAGACTACCAACATTTGAGGTTCATCATCAATGTTACTTTCAATTTGGTATCACATATGCATATTTAAGCTTCTTAACTGAGAATGTGTGAAGTATTTCTGGCTTTATGAAACAATACTTCGTACGTACGGAGTATTACTTGTTCGTTCTCGTCAGCCTTACCTTGAAGCTGGAGGGCTATCTAGATGGTTTGCCGGAATCGCTAACCTTGACGTCGTGGACTTCTCATGCCCTTGATCTACCCAATCTTCATCATTAATTGGTCGTCGAGTTATACCTCGTCGTATATGTGCTACTTCCATCGACCAAGACCTCGGAGTGAGAGAGACACGTAGATTTGCGGACCATTGGCCAGCTCTAGCCTTCTGCCCACCCTCATCTACCTAGGAGCCTATGAGTCCAATAACAGCCTTTACTCATTTGCTTTAAGATGAAGAAAGCTTCAGCAGGCGCTACGCGCCGCACTCAAGCAGTCTCTACTTTTCGTTGTGAGCGTAGCGATGGAATGGCCATTGCAGATTCTCGAATACCATCCAATCGTAACCGCGTATCTCCAACAGTCGAGTCAGAATGGCTGACCAAACTCGGAGGCATGGTAGCTGACCAACTATATCCAGGCACAGGTTGGTCCATCTCTATGTTTGGAAAGAGACATGCTAATCACTATTAGATCATGCATTTACATTAGAGAGCTTCCCAGAGCATTATCATCTACGCGTTCACCAATCCCTTCCTAGTGAGTCGAACTCATCCCAAATTCATCACTAATGCTTATGTTTGACTGTTTGATATATTAGATGGCTCATCTGAGTACTACTTGTATGGATACCCAGACAAACAACAGAATACTGGGGTACCCAATGGAGGAGCGAATTTACTCACGCCAAAAGTATTTGGCTCTCCATCTGAATTCTTCGAGCATCTCTTCTGGCTTATGACTGCACCTGACCTCAACCGAGGAGGCTGTACTTGTCGAAACTGCTCGCCCGCACCGGAAGCCATAGAAGCACCACAGAGTTTACCACCTCCAACTTCTACGGCACCTACTCGCCCAATTCCAGCGAGACGGCAAGTAGCTCCTACATCGACACCGGAAGTAGCTCAAGGCATGGCGAGTCCGGCTCCTCCGGTACCTGGCCGTGCAGCTCAGGTACCAGCTAGTCGTGCAACTCCAGGAAGAAGACAAGGAGTTGCTATACCGGCACCTGGAGCACCTGGAGCACCCCAGGGCTCAGTAGCTCCAACTCCTGTTGCGCCTAACCGTCCGACTCCACCAGGGCGACCAGTAAATACTACACCAGCGCCTACAATATCCCCAAGTCCTTCTTTCAACCCTATACTAACACCTCAGCCTGATGAATCTTTATTATTCCGAGAAGGCGAGGTGGTCTGGTTCAGAAAGGCGCAGGAGGCGTTTCGTCTGGGAATTATACTCCAGAACATACCTGGAGACCCTGCCGTTCCCTTCTCCCAAAAGAGTAGAATCAAGCCTCTTTCTCACCATCAAAAAGCTATCGAAGATGTTGAACGATCCGAGGCCGATATGCGACCTTTCCTAACATTCAGTGTTCCAGATGTTCGTGAATTTCTCCGCTCAGTTGCCGATAAGCCGATGGTAACGGTCCTTTGGGGTGTGTTAGAGAATCAACTTCTGAAGGATGGCCAAACCAGTGGAGAACTTCTCAGTCTTGAGGCTTCGAAGATTGCAGCAATCCAAATCGACCATTCCTACTCACTGTTCAATACTACCGCACCTCCCAATGCCCCGCTTCGACAGCGAAGCTTCGGGGGAGTGTTTTTCGGCTGCGAGAAGATCGGCATCTTCGAAGCAGTCCGAGTCCATGTCGACCAGCAAGAACATCAAGCCTGGAACAACCCCGATATCCCTTTTGTAATGGTGGTGAAGGGCATAGTGCTTGACTCTTCGGAGAGTGGTGATCGTTTGCTCTTCCAAGGCGACATCTGGCTCTTACAGGAATCCAACTCACCGCAGCACGTAAACAACACCAACCAACTTCCCCCTTCTATGCGCCGCGAGAAGATGTTCCGCGATGAGGTTAAACAGCCACATGGAACACACTTTGACTGGATCCAGGTAGCAACTAACGCCGTGAAGCCCGAGACCTCTATTCGAGGACGATTCTACGAATCCCGCAAACTGGGCCCTATGCTCAGCCCACAGTGGGGCCAGTATCTACAGAGCGGGATCATCCCACCTATCCACAAATCCCTCAATAATCGCGGTGATTCCAAGGGCATGTATATTGGAAGGAAGAGCTCTCGCCTGGAGACTGTCATTGGGGCTATTCCACACGACACTGTTCTCTCCCTCGGACCGCATGTCATGGAGTGGTCGTGAGAGGCACGTGTGATGTATTCCTAGGTACCTATTCATGCCACCATCATAACAGCTTGGAGAGCCCTTCGGATTCGAAGGAATAATAGTCGGTTGGTTGGTGTTAAGAATCAAATGATGGATAGCTACTCATCTAAACCATGACCTTCTAAGGTTGTACTCTCGAAGATGTTGTTAATTTGAAGTAGCGGCGGCGCTTAGTTCGTCATCTAGCACCTGGTAGTTGGCCCTCGTAACGGTTTAAAGGAGGAAAATAAAAAGGGGTCGTGGTATTCATCTTTGGTACTGTCATTTATCGCTTAAGCTCGGGAAGATTTGCCAGTGAATACAAACCGGCCCCTTTCCCGCTCACTATAACTTCGAGATGAATGAAGTCTTTCTCCAGTGAGGCAAACGTGCCACCTACCTGGGTGATCGAGAGCTATACATAAGCAGACTATTTGATAGCTTCCCAAACCCAACTAGGTGCCTTAACACGTACTATTCATATGTAAGAAACCACCTAGTATTATCTATCAAGTGCCTATTTCAAGTCGCTCTATAGGAGCGGATAAGCTTGATGCAGTTGCCACATAGTGTAGTGCATAGTGTGCACCTAGGAGCATACATAATTTACACATATACTCAGATGAGAGTTCCATTCGTCGTTGGCGGTGGATCTGTAGGTATTGTATGCGTACCTATACATACATCATGCGGCTGAATCCACGGTTAGCCTAGGTAGGCATGCCGGTATATATGTACTGGGTATGTATGTCTTCCGTTCCCGGTTCCCAATCATAGATGGCCGCTTACCTAGGTGCATACCTAGATCTACACTATATAACCTAAGCTTATCAGCCCACTACCTACCCCCCTCCTTTTAGAACAGGCACATCTACCAGAACTTTCTTTATCCATATAAATACTACCTACATATACCTGCCTATTGAGTGCTCACTTACTTACAGTTAGGAGTCTACCTAGCATGAAATATCACAAGCAGCTACATGATATTATGGCGTGCTTATGTACTGTAGCTTGCTGGATAGTTAATACGAGTCGTAAGATCGCCACAGGGGGTGTATGCTCCTACAGAACAACAACAGGAGTGAATAGACATGTATCCAATGTATCCAATGTATGTAGGTACATGTAGGCATGCCACCTTGACTTCAAGCTTGTCTACTTGTGTAATGACATGCTTACTTAGTTTACTTTAGGCCGGCAGGTATACGATATATCCCAGCAATCTACTATAGTCAGTAGTACATACCTAGTATGTGGTCTACTCAACTATTACATAGCAGTAACCTCAGATTCGAGATCCGTAACGACTCCTAACCTAAACTACCTCAGGTTAGAGGTATGTATTGTACTTAGATAGTAGCACATTCTATGTTTAGGATATTGAAGCTAATGGTAGGTAATGGGAATCAGTCAGGTATGTACACATGTAAAAGGCACGGGAATAAACGATCGCCTGGCTACGGGAATAAGAAGCCAAGGCGATGTCGTACGTAGTCCATGTGCTAGCACTAGGTAGTAGGTAGTTATGTATTAATTATTATTATCAATCATTTGTTCGTGTACAAGTTGTATTATAGTATTATACATACATACATATGTACATGCCTTAATCTAAGCCTAACCTAGTATATTTACGATACGGAAGACGGCGATCAAGCCAATTGAGGATTAGACCTATGTACAAGGTTAGTAGAGGTAGGGGTTAAAGAGAGACAGAGAGAGAGAAAGAGAGGGGTGATAGTTAGATGGATTGATTGATTGATCGCCGCCGAGGCGAAGCACCAAAGCACGCGAGCCGAGGACCCTGACGCTTCTCTTTTTGGGGTAGACAGGTATTAATTATCACAGATTGACGTAAGAGTCAGATGGTTATTATTAGGCACGTTATCAATTCGTTACCAACGACGACGTCACTTTGCTGAGTATGTAGGTAATCTAGTAGTTATGTACTACACTAAACAACCTCTGATGCTATAGAAGAAGAAGGAAGGGAAGGAAGATGAGAAGAAAAAAAGGTGAGGCGATCTTTTGCCGGCACAGGTCAAAGCTGCAAAAAAAAAACACCCCCAAAACCGGGAGGAGTTGCTGCGCGGCGACGGCGGCAACATGCAAGCAAGCAAGCAAAATAGACAGACACACATACACAGACCACATAGACAACCAACCAAGCAGCAAGCTACCGTTAATAAAACTCTGCCATGTGAAATGTTACGAACCTGTGACGAGCGTCAATGACCTCGGTGAGACAAGAAGAAACGCAGCACGCATATAGTTAAGTATGTATGTAATACCACAAAACGCCGGTGTAGAACTTACCTAACCTAGGAGCGTACATCCTGTCCAATGCCGTTGTAGTATTCAAAACTTCAAAAAATCAAAAACTTGGCCCTTGTCACAATTTGTAGGTCTGTATGTAGGCCCCCTGGTAATCCGGGCTAAGGCCTACATGAATCCGTGCATACCGGAAGCATGCCGACGAGGGGCCGGCTGCTCCCATTTTTTTCTTTCTTTTTTTTCTCGGTGCTGTTAAAACATTTCAATAATACACGTTATTATTAACATGGGGGATCCAGAGAAACTTGAAAGGGAAAGAAAAAAAAGGGGGGGCCGGGGGTATTGTATGTATTTTGGAAACAAGAAGCTGCATTTCCGTCACCTAAGAGAAATCCTCATAATAATTACTATCCATGGATAGTGTACGCAATCTCGTCGTCGGCGATAGGATATAAGGAGGGAGCGAGCGAAAGAGAAAAGCCTCCTTGAATCTTTTAGCATTAATTTTGCATTTGTCGTCGTTAGTGTAATCGAAGAAGATCGCTTAATTTTTTTTATTTTTTTTTTCGGAAGCTGACCACAAGTCGAGATCTCGGTACCAAAGGAGAAAATATGTAAATGTAAATAATTACAGTTGTTATTGTGTCAAACCAACAATGGAATCCATCAGTTTACTCAATGTAGGCATTCAGAGTATTGAAGACTAACAGTTTAACTATGTACAATACATAGTGTAGGTGCGCGCGCCCGCACCCGCTCGCTCGGGGGTTTTACCAAAGAAAGTGAATCCGAATGGAGGTCCCTCGGACTCGCTCCACTTCGAGACAGACAGACAGACAGCAAGAGCAAAAAACAAATACGGGATAACTAGTTAGTTAGTTGGAACCAAACTGTCGGGTCCTCCCTCCCCCTTCCCCTTCCCCTTCCCCCCATGATCCATCCATCCCCCCTCCCCAGCTTAGTTTACCTACTATGTAATTTAACCCAGGGAATTTTATTTTAAAATAAAAAAAAAGGAAAACAAGAGAGAAAAAAAAAAAGAAGAGGGGAGGGGTTGATCCCCCGATCCCCCGATCCCCCGCCGCCGGGCCACTTTCGGTCTCGGTCTCGTCACTCGGGTCGTCTCGTCGCGGGTGAGGCCTTCTCTTGGTACATACACTAAATACACCAGAGCCCGTGCTTCTCTTTTTCCCTTTCCTTTCCTCTTTCAAACTTGCCGATCTACACTAAAAACTTACCATAGAATAAATAGTCCATCCATCCAACTTAGGCATAGGCAAGAGATAGAAGAAAGAAGTAGGCACGTTACATCGCCTGCGTTTCTTTTCGGCATAGTCATTGCGGAACACGCACGTTTCGCTAAATTTCGTTTCCCCTTTTTTTATTTTATCCTTCAATTTTATAATTGTACACTAACTAACTAACTAACCACCTACTATGTACGGAGTCGGTAGGCTTCTTATGGGAGTTTATTAATCGCCTAGCGTACAGAGAGGAGGATAGCTATGCGAACAAGGTAGGCAATTACTAATCGGGGACCGGCCCAACAAAAAAAAATATCAATAGCTTCATTAGCTACCTAGGTTAGTAGTTAATATATTATGCGTGTAAGTGGTGATGATGGTACATATGGTGCTGTAAAGTCGATCTTTGTCCACGGCACCTTATCACCACCTGACGTATTTGCAGCTCTTGCATACACACAGCATGTAAGCTTATACCTTTAAGAACTTAGTAAGAACATAAAACCGGTAGCGCACGGTAACTATCAACATACAGTACCTGTAAGCTGTAGCTAAGCTGTAGTGGCTCCTACGCGGCTACGCCATCTTGAGACAGCTACACTAGTGAAAAACAAAGCCACCGCCCCAAACGGTTTGGCTCACATATGTATGTGTGATCATTAATTAATTATTTATGTTGATGTCGTTTTTTGCTTATGCTTCTTCCTACATTAGCTAGCCTTGAGATATGTAAGTCCCAGTGCCAGAAGAAACAGCCGGTACCGAGTACCTGGGAGCTCAGTCCCAGCTTTTGATTGTCACACGAAAAAAATTGCCGAACCATGCCTAACCTAGACATCGCCACGCTTTCATCGGAGGTTTTTTTTTTCTTTTCCTTTCTTTTTCCTCTTCGTATTCTTTTTCTTTTTCCGGACCCCCCTATCGCTTTGGGTTAGGCGAGTTAAGAACCGAAAACGTTGATCGGGCCTGAACATGGGAAGACAAGGGCGGGACGTTGATGTCAGACGTTCGTGTTACTTACATTACATCGTATATAGACAGGTAGCTATTCATGCAACCCAAGGGTTCATAGATTTACAGATGTCCTGCTCTAGCCTGTCCAGCCTGCTTCACCATTGCGTCACACGATTCCCCCAAGTGTAACACGCAATAAACACATGTAACATTGTGATATCCAAGACGGTAGTATTTCCTACCTTTGTTTCTCTCTTCTCGTGCGAGTGATTAAAAAGACATGCGGTGCGACCATCGTCAGCTTATGTAGCTCATCTAAGCTTCTCAGGTAAATTGATTGGACAAAACATTGATTCCAGTGGTGGAACCCCGTTAGATTATAACTAGGTAGGTAGGTTGGAAGTAATAGCAAACGTATGTAGGTGAGTGCTAGGTATATAGGTAAATAGGTAGGTAGATAGATATCAAGGGAAAGACATTTTTTGTCGCAACAACATTCTCTATGTATATATGATAACGTAATTACTGCGTATAAGTAGATAGGTAGGTAGGTATAGGTTCAAGTTGATTGTTTGTATATGCTTGGGTTTTAATCTTCGAAGTGGCAAGAATTAACATGATACCTACCTATACCTAGGTAGGCTTTGAACGAGCTTGATATCACAGACTTGGCGTAAATAACCCGCTCACTTGGCGCTCACCCTCCTTTATGTACTGATTTTTAACTCGCGCAAAAATAAATGTAGAATATCCGCATCTCCAACAAATTGGCCATGTCTAAGTAGATAGTATGATGCCGTAAATAGATGAAGGTAACGATTGCAATGCGCTAATGGTGGTATAATGCGGCTTGTGTCGTAATTCGTTGCACGTAATGTAAATGGATGTTTCCGTTGGGAAGAGTTGATATATATGTAGGTAGTAGGTATGTAGTTCGCGCGAATAATTGAATACTCGAATAGGGGAGATCCAGTCCGGATTTTGGCAAGATCAGCGAAATTATAGTCAAGAGCTGTTAGCTATCCGAAGTTTTCAGCGCTTCTATCCGAAGCCGGATACTTTCTAGGACGTCGGGGTCGGGTTCAGGCTCAACCTTCTTCGGCTTAACTCGAGGACAATCAGAACATTTGTTGTGCGAACAGCCCTCACACACCGTTCCGTCCTCAGCGTTCGGCGGAAACTTTCTTTCACACTCGTGACAGGCGTAAACCCCTTTGAATTTCGAGCCAGGCTCATCGTTGGGATATCCATAAGGCCATTTTTTCTTGTCATCACTATAAAAAGTTAGATGGCGTTTAACTATTCATTCTCAGTTCAACTTACGGGTTTCGTGGGCAATCGGCACAACGCTTGTGCCCGCAATTGTCGCACACTCTTGCTTCCTTACCATGTGCAGTAATCAGGCTATCACACAAATGACAGGTTCTCCTAACTCGCACGCGAGGCTTGCCTTTGTAGACAAGTTCTTGTCCACCGGCCTTGCCCGGTCGCTTTAAAATGAGCTTCTCCGAGTAGTCGTAGCTTGGAATGATGGGAGCATTTTCTTTGTTCCTCCGAATGATGGCCTCTCTTCTTTCTCGGTTGGCCTGCTTCTCCTCCTCGTTGCGCTTGACGGGGTATCGAGAACAGCTTTTGCAACGTTTATGGTGGCAACTGGGACACTCATTGTCGGCACCGAAGGCTGTATGGCATCGGTGGCATTCCCTGTGAATTCGCATGCGGACCGACTTGTCCACCCGGAGCACATCTCCCTCAGTAGAATGCCACTCGTTCGGCTTAATCTCCAATCCAAACTTAGAACCCAATTTCTTCGCGCGCTCCTCATGAATCTGTAACCGGGGGATCTTGGAGGCACCATCATATTGTAGCCTCTTCGGGGCGGCAGGTTGGCTTGGTGACTATCAATATCTAAGATCGCTTTATTTGAGGGGCAAGTATAAAATTTACCTTCCAGGCGCAGTGAGGGGCGCAACCGGCTCGACAGTACCTTTCTTGGAACGACCACCTCTTTTGAAAACAGTTCTTACACGGTATAAAACCTTGCCGACTCCCTTCCTCTTTTTGCCGTCGGTCGGTAGAACCCCCGTTGGGGTAGCGGTGGTGGGTGAACTCATGATTCTTCCCAAGCGGTGCTATAAACTCGGGAACGGCGACAACGTATAAATGGAACAACAAGTCCTAGGGAAGCGACTAGCGATACCAATATATATATGTTTTTACTTCTTAGACCCCATCTAATTCAAGCCGCCTAACGGAGTGTAAACTGGTAAGAGTGGCGGCGATATCTAAAAGGGTTCCGGCCCCTTTCCTTGGCGAAGAGCGGCTATAAAGTAAACGGCGAGTAGGAAACAGCTAAGAAGCAAGATAGGCTGGACAAGCCCCGGTGTTCGTGGGATCCGGAATACGAATTGGAAGCTACAGGTCGGGTATCAAAGCCATTGAGGTCGGTGGTGACTTGGTGTGCAAGTTGTAAGTGGTTGTAGGTGATGGTATGTAAGTGTAAGTGAAGGGAAGGGGAGCGTGAGCGTGAGCGTGAGCGTGGGCGGGAAGTGAGAAGATGATATGGAGAGAAATGTGGGAATTTAGATAGCTACCTAGGTAGGTAGGTAGACAAGGTTAGGTAAGGTATGTACTAAGGTACTACTAGGTAGTAGTTAGACAGCTGGGAATCGAAAGACCAAGTTAATTGTTATTGTTAATTGCAAGTAAGTTGTCCCGGCGCTAGGTTACCCCCAGGTGAAGTGGAAAGGTTAGTTTGATAATAAATGGAGGATGTGGGACACAGTTACCAAGCAGGAGAACCATGCTCCGGCCGGGTGGGTATTGCCATGGCTTGGCAGTTCAGTTTAGTTCAATGTTTGGGTTGGTTTGGTTTCCACTTGCCTCAAGTGCAGCGTAGTACTTTTAGTGGGGGATGTATTGTACATACATTACATATGAATGTATGATAATGTAGGTAGGAATGTTAGTTAGTTATACCTACACAATGCAATGCATACATAATGATAGTTACATTAATAACATTAACAACATTTAACAACACCAATTAGATTCCATGACATCTAGTCTACGAGACAGACTGCAGGTACAGTACTTCATCATACTAACTAACTATGTGAATGGGCGGAGGGGGCGGTTGTCATATTGTGACGATCATAAGGATAAGAAATGATAATGAATATCAACCTAGGTTGCTTTGTACTATTGGAAGAATGGTTGGCGGTAGGCATCCAATGAGATTAAGTATTTAAAGTGATTCTGTGCAGTGTGCATATCCTCAAGATTATGTCATTTATGTATGTCGTTCAGTTTAGTTATTCTCTTTGAAAAAGGGAACTCAAGTGCTGTATGAAGAGGTTGAATACATCAATGGTTGGTTCGTTAAGGTGTCATTCGGGACAACTACTATGTACCTATGCACGCTATACTCAGTATAGCATCCCGTTTAGGTATCTGTAGGGTTAAAGAACCCAGGAATCCCAGGATAAGTCGGTAGCGGCTTCTAGGTTCAAAAAGTTGCTACTAGTTATGTACTTGTACCTAGTTAGTAGTTAGTTACATAACTGTAATACTGTATGTAGTTATTGTACTACAGTACCAGACCCAAACTTGGAAACCTCCAGTGGTTTTGATACCACCTACCTAGGGTAACTACGCTAGTGCTACTGAGAGAAGCACCCCTAAAGAAATTGGAACTTTTGCAAAATTAGGGCCAAAGATATCATGCGCCTAGCTACCCAGCACCCAGAACGTCGGTACCTGTCTCCAGCGCCGGGTAGATCAATACTACCTGGTAACTACTGACATAGGTAGATATCTACATATATCCACTGTTAGGAAAGAAAACGTGCTTTCTCCGCTACTAGCCTAATGTCTGTGAAGAATATTTGGGAATCCAATCATCAATCGTAATTGTTCTAGTAGCACGCGTCACCTCTCACGGGACGGGAATAGGAATCTGACATGTTTATGACAAGCCCATTGGGTGAACTGGCGAGTCAGGTAGGAAGGGAAAGGCAACTTGAATTACTTAGATACCTTGTATTATGTAGGTACCTATTATACATACCTAGTAGTTATGTAGTAGTTATGTAACACTACTAGGTACATACCTTAACTGTCAAGGTGGGGAAAGCGCCTGCGGTCCGGCGAATCCCTTTGTCTGAAAATGCAACCATGTACGAATAGTTTGTAGATGTACTCATAGTTACATGTAGTTGTAAAATCCAAATTCCTCCCCGCAGTCGCATCAGACCCGGAGGAATGGTCGCATTGCGCTTGCGTTTATTTGCGATACACTACTACGGTAAACGAAATACTACAATGTAGTTAGGTATGTACCTTTACCCAACTAACAATTGCGATAATCATTGAAAGCCTCGTGAACGGCATACAGTACGTGCTACGTAGTAGAACAATTTATACGGGATAACTATCTGGATCCATCATGGTGCGGTAAAAACCATTAAGTACCCAAGTAGTTACTACACTAGGCAACTCTTCAAGCTACTAGGTACTAACCTAGGTACCTAATCTTTCCTGTTGTACATAGTTAATGTATTTCATTGCCCAGTGATAAGGATAAAATGATGGGGAAGGAGAGATTCATTGGGTTTATAGATAGTGGAACCAATCAGATAGAACGGGGTTATTAAACCCAAAAGTCCCTTTTTCTTTAAGCTACATGAAGTAACTATGTACTGGTACCTACTGTACTAGGTACCTAGTAGTGCCATGTGTGTAACTAACTCCACTATCTCCATAAAAGACTATCGATTCTATTCCGCCCGCAACCATTAATTCTTAACCATCAACCGTTTCCTATTGGGCAACTATCAACCATCAACCATTAGCCATCAACCACCTGGGCACCTAACGGTTAGACAATCAAGTAACGATCATACTATGTCTTGATCTCTCATCTTTTCAAAGGTACAAATAAATCATCTGCAACTGAATTAGACTATGGCTGAGAAGGATCGGTAACAAGCGACATACTCCAACATGACATGTGGTCTCTTCAAAGACGTTGAAGGGTTACATCTTCGAGTCATGAATAGGTTGATGTACATTGTATGGTATGTCATTGTCAGGTGGAGACTTGGTAGCTGGCCCTTGCTCGTGGGTAAGAAGCCGACAAGTCAGCCTCTTTTTCATTTGAATCCCAAATCTCTACACTTCCCTACCTACCTACCTAGGGTGCTTGCTCTAAGTCCCAGCAGTCGACAAAAGCAGGGACCAGCTCAGGGACCAACATTGAACTCCCAAACACGAAACCCTTTAACTAATTATTACAGTAACTATGGATAAAGATCCTATGCTAAGAATCAGCTATAGACACCGCACCGACCTTAACAATTTAGTTCAATACTTGGAAAACATATTCGAGGCATCATCTCGAGACTCGAGTAATGGATTACATGTAACCATGTAACTTATTATCCGTATGTATCGAACCCAGGTAAGTAATGTACAGTACAATACCCATAAACTGAAGACTAGGTATAGTACATACATGCTAAGCACTAATTAAGAGGTTCCCGGGTCCCTGGGGTTGGGCGGAATCACTCATTAAGGGATGACACGTTGTGTAGGACGACGTGTTTTCCCAGCTTAGACATTACCAATCAGCCGATACGATATGCGTTTTTACCTCGTACATTAAATAATAACATCTTGGAGAGTTTCCGGAAGAGGCTAAACGTTCCCGAATGTTGCCCTTTCTTAGTCCTTTCCCCTCGCGGCTTCGTTGTCGCCGACAAACACTTGATCCCCTCTCCACCGCCGTAATAGAAAGGATACCATTGAAGGTAACAAATCGATAGCTCTGCAGCACATAGCCCCGCACGCCATGTAACCCACCTTACCTTGCTTGAAGTTGCTTCAGTTCGTCTGTAACGACTCGCGCGGCATTCAATGTTCAGCTAACCTATGTACCTGAGGTATCTGACCAACCTAGGTACATACATAGGTGTTGAGGGTGCTGAGATTCTGAGAAGGTTCCAAGGCTAAGGATAAAGAGGGTTAGATCGAAAGCACTCCAAGTTTTGGTCCAGAACGTCTTTTCAATATCACTGCGGCCCAAAATGTAATCTTACCTTGGTAGGCAGGTAGGTATGTAGATATCGACTCATTATTCATTCCAGGTCACTTCCATCATCTACCTAGCACAGTGGCACTGTGATACCAAAACGTACAATACAGTAACCTAGTTATTTGGTGGCCAAATAACGAATTAGGGGTAAACGGTTGAAACTTGCCACAGTCAAGAGACCGTCCGATTACAAGACCTGCAAGGCCTGCAAGGCGAGGACTTTACACCACCCTGCATGGTTCATGGTTTATGTACATACTGTACTTGCGATCAAGACATATTTAGATACATGTTACCAAGATCACCAAAAGTGGCGAAAGTCCAGCAAGTTGGATCCTCGGGCCGTTGATATGGAACCACTTCATGCTTTGGGATATCCCAATGCGCTGGAACGCATGATCCTGGCTGGTCGTGAAACCACACTGTACGACTTATACACACCTACATACATACTAGACATACATATATTAGGTACGTATGTAGGCTCGCATAGTACCGCATAGTACCACATAGTATTATGCGACCTTCCTATGTAAAGATTTGGGGAATCAACCGTCGGAGCCATACACGTCGGTCTATGTGTCATATCAACTGCAAGCCCGCGGACCTCCTTCAATCTCTCGTCAGTCCCGGCTATTTGGTGCAGCAGCGCCGCAGGCTCGCATCCAACTTCTCCTTCCGCCTTTTTGCCTTGCTTAGACAAGACCCAGCCGTCCGGTACGCCGTTCTTTCCATCGTCGAGATTCGCCCTCACCGCCTCTCGATCCTGGGACCTGGGAAGGAAGAAGCCACGCTATCAAGCCTACCTAATCATGTGGCTTAGGGCATCACAATCGATTGGTACAGGCCAGGCTCTATCGGATTGCAGGATCTTTTTTTCTTCTGTCATCAATAGTCCCATTCGGGTCGATTTGATTACCAGCTAGGATCCTATCATCGGTATCCGGGTTGAGAGAAAAGCGGCAGTAATGTACAGCTGTACATGTGTGGACACATTGTTTACTATGAAGTAATATCCAGGGAAGCCTTGATAGGTTGAGGCAATGACGTGCAGGCGAGCATGGTCAGATCGGAAGTATCCCGGCAGTCGACTGACCCAAGCAGCCCGAGTTGTGCGTGTTCGAGCCGCCGTTAGCTTTTTCGGACCCAGGCAGCCAGGTTTTAAGTCGATAGATATATGTGCCTCCAATTCCATTCAGGGGGAGAGGGCGTTCGTTAGGTATGCAGCAAAATCGTACCATAATCAAGTTCAACTTGTTACGTCAATACATACAGTACACAACACACGACATACAACACGCTGCCTCCCCGTCACATCGGCAGATATTAACAGCTACAGGACTTCCAACTCAGAGAGAGAGGCACGTGCTGAATTGGAACAAGATCACCCCTCCAATCGTAGAGGCTACATCCAACGGGCTTTGAGCCCGTATGCACGGCACATGGTGTCTGTCTCAGCCACCTGCTTCCCGAACCCAGGCATCTGTACACGAAAAAAAAAACGCCCCATCAGATCATCATTTCCCTCTCTCTCCCAAGGATGGGCAGGGTTACGTAGAGAAAGAAACACATGTAAGAATGTAAGATGCTAGGGTGACATATGTATGTATCATATGTCGGGGCCGGGAAGCTGCTGAGTTTCCGGCAGCAGATTGGTGAATGGTTGATACATACCTAGATGCCGTTCCAGATCGTTGCACTATTAGCGGGTGGTGAGGGATGAGGAGGGGGAGGAGGAGGGATTGAGGCCAGCGAAGCAATGCTCTCCGATTGAAAATCCAAGAAAAACAACCGATGATGATACTCTACATAAGTAGGTACATGGTAATAACACATGCATATACGGTACTATCTACCCGACATATGTATGATACATATGTAGGTAGGTAAGGTAGGTAGGTATGATATATCCACGTTACACCACTTGACGAAGGGTAATATCAGCTCTCCAAACACCTCCCTCAAGCCACACCGAAATCGCGCAAAGGCGCATGCACACAACGTGGTACTACGGGGCAGATGCTGCAGGGCGATATTAACCTTATACCCCCTATCCCCCCCCCCTTTTCCCTTCTCAATCTCTCGGTTCATTGCCAACATAATCTTCTCAACCTTTGGTAGATAAAGAAATGGCAAGATATGATAGGTGCCTGTGGGCGTATTACCTAAAGTGATAATCAGTCACGGGTGTTTGAAGAAAGTGTCTTTAAGTTGATGGTACACAAAGATAAAGAGAGAGAGAGAGATGGTGAAGCTTACTCGCCATTGGTACTGACTAAGTGTGTCGAGGACGGCATAATACCGTGAGGTGATTCGCTGCTAACTACTAGGTAGGTACTGTGTGAGCGCTTACGTGACAATCAGTAAAGTACGTGTCGTGACGCCCCCTATACCTGGCGAGTAGTTTCTCAGGCTGATTGGTCTGGACAGTATTTATGAGGCTCTTTGTTGCCTTTTAGGCGTCTGAATACTCCGCCATATCAAGTTCCTCTTCGTGAGGGTTTATATCTCGGAACATCCGGTAAATTATCTTACTTCATTGGTGCTCTTTCCAAGCATCGCAGCATCTTACATACTTTAAGCTCTCGGTAGGCTATCACTTGAGTCGCAGGAGCTATTGTTAGACGTTGATTGCGCTAAACAAAGAAGGCTACCTACAGTAAGTCTGTCTTGTCCCTAGGACTACCTGAATATAGATAGCTAGCTATGGCATACTGAACCCATTCGCGGCTCGCTCCTTTCCCGACCCAAAAACGAAAAGGAGGCGTAGGTCATACCCTGCTAGTCGTAAACGAGGGCGTATCCTAGGTAGAGCCTGGTGTATCTAGACGCCTGGTGACGTTCCTGGCTACCGCCTATGTATACCCAGCCGAGCCAGCTTGAGTCGCCCTTATTGTCTTCTATGGGATGACTGTCTACCTGCAGTAGCATGCATCATCGCGCAGTCTTCATGCCACGCGGGGATGTTTAATTGCCAACCTAGGGGCATTTAGACATCTACCTTGGGTGATGCTTATCCAGGTAGGTAGATTACGAGATAGCAGACGGGGAAAATCAAGCAAAACAGAACCAAGTAAATCCTGTATGGGATATCGGAATCAAACCCCTTAATAGAATATCAGGTAGGGATGTTTCCTTGCCTTGCCTTGGTGCAATACAGAAAGAAAGGCCCCTCCCCTGGTTTCGCCTAACTTGGCTTAACCACATGCCATTCCAGCTAATTGCCAGTAAATGCTCCCATCGTGTCTCTCTCCTCGTTTGGAGCCGTATACCCGCGGAGCTTGCTCATTACCTAAGTCCCAATACGACATGTACTTACAGTTAAATAAATAAATAAATGGGGGGAGGGGAATTAGGTACTGATATGTGACAAAGATCGGCCTCAAACCGGACTTCCGGGAACCCCACAGAACGGGTGCGATCCATTCCGCGGCAAAGCCAACTGCCCATCCGAGAAGCGGGGGTGCCGATGCGGAGGTGCTAGATTACCTACTACCCAAATATGTAGGTACTATGTATGTATGTATGTATGTATGTATGTATGCTAAGTTAAATAAGGTGCTACTATGTATAGTAGGTGTATAGGTAGTGTAGTATGTAGGTAATTATAGCATGTTCTTTTTCAACGACGCTTACCTACCTAAGTTACCTACTAGCTTAAGCTAGCTATCGAACGATTATCTCGGCAATGACTCACAAGCCGTTGACGATACTTAACTTTTAAGATTCAAAGCCTGTGCAATCCGTCGCTAAGCGTGGCATATTTAATGATATGATACTCAGAGTTTGCATTTTCCGCTGTACTTCTAATAACTGAAGAGTTGCTACTCCTACGTACATCATACTGTATATCATCCCCCTTTCATTTTTGGGTTTGTTTCGTGTGCTCGAGATTGTGGTTCGATCCGGGGTGTTTCGAAAAAAAGAAAAAACAAGGAAACAGGAAGCAGGATCCGGGTTACAGGATACTTACTTACTGCCAGCAAGGTACTATACTAACCGAGCCAGTTAGGAACTTGCGCTTCGGGATATTATTCTACGGGTACCTGGCCAAAATGCCGAATATCGTAGTCGTAGGGCATGTTTTCCCCAGGTCAATTATGTGACAAAGCGGAAGAGAACCTCCCCCAGCTAACCGCTCAACTTTTTTTTTTTTGCAGGGCGGGCGTCTCCGGTCTTACGTCGGCGTATCTCCTGTCGAAGCAGAAGGATAATGTCATCACCGTTGTCGCCAAGCATATGCCGGGCGACTACGACATCGAGTACGCGTCGCCGTTTGCTGGTGCGAATGTCTTACCGTAAGAGGGAAAAAATCTTGTCATAAAATCCAGGATGGTTGGTGATGCTCACACGCTGCTTGTAACAGCATGTCGACCGCGGGGAATAGCTCGTGGGAGCGTCGCACCTGGCCGGAAATGAAGCGGCTCGCGACCGAGGTGCCCGAGGCTGGTATCCATGAATTGAGTGAGTCAAAGCCGACTGTAGTAGTGATACCAGCAGCAGTGGTAGTAGAAGAGGAAGAGGAAGGAGAAGAAGATTGAACAGGTCTAAATAATAACCATTGCAAGCACAGAGTCTCGCGTGTACCGTCGGGAGAAGGACCTCGAGAAGCTGAGGAGCGGCGGCTACAGCTTCGACGGGCTGTTTCAGGAGAACCCATGGTACCGGGACCTCTTCGACGATTTCCGCGAGCTCTCGGCGGAGGAGCTTCCCGAGGGCATGGCGTCGGGCTGCGAGTTCGGCTCCGTCTGCATCAACGTCATGCTCTACCTGCCGTGGCTCCTCGGCAAGTGCAGGGCCAACGGCGTCGTGTTCCGCCGCGGCCAGGTGAAGCACATCTCCGAGGCGGCGGCGCTGAGCCACACCGGCAAGGCAGCCGATGTCGTTGTTAATACGACGGGCTTGATGTCTTGCCGGCTCGGCGGGGTCATGGACCAGAACGTCGTGCCGGTCCGCGGCCAGGTCGTCGTGGTCCGAAATGAGGCGCCGTACATGATCACCAAGTCCGGCACGGATGACGCCGACGACGAAGTCGCCTACATTATGATGCGGGCTTCCGGGGGAGGCACGATCTTGGGGGGTACCTATCAAAAGGGGCAGTGGGAGAGCCAGCCGGACCCGAATATAGCTATGCGGATCATGCGGCGGGCAGTGGAGATGATGCCTGAGCTTACGAACGGAAAGGGGGTGGAGGGCTTAGATATTGTCCGCCACGGCGTTGGTCTCCGCCCATATAGAAATGGTGGCGTAAGGATCGAGAAGGAGAAAATTGACGGGACCTGGGTCGTTCATAATTACGGGCACGCTGGCTGGGGATACCAGGGCTCGTACGGCTGCGCAGAGGATGTTGTAGGGCTCGTGAATGAGGCATGTTAAATCCCATAGTAATCTGAACGGACGAGGTTATCTCGAGACTCAGGGAGATCGACCCACATTTATTTTGGGAGTTCAATAAATGGAAATTATGGAATGCATACCGCCCCACATGCTACGGATGGTCTAGGCCTAAACTAGCTAGCGCATGGCATAGCTGCATTCTACTCAAGCTACATATGCATAACTAGTTAACTACTTCGTTATACATCAAACTGCACAAACTGCAAATAATTCATCTTCACCATAAGACTACATATACGACAACGCCGATGACAACTTAAAATGGCCAAAAAGGAGCCTGGTCTTGTTTCGCAAGCAGTCAATTTGGTCTTCGACATAGCAAATCGTCGTAGCCCCTTGTCAAAGCTCATTCCACCATGCCTAATCCTCCTTGATTCCATCCTTTGCGCGCTTGTCATATGGAAAATCCCCTGTGAGTGCCATTGACGACATCCTCTAGCATAGCTATTTAGTGTTGTTAGACCATCTTGCTGACAATTTGCTGTTCTATAGATACCGAGATCGATTGGAAGGCATACATGGAGCAGGTTGCGCAATTTGTGTCAGGCGAATACGACTACACCAAGATCAAGGGAGGCACAGGTCCCCTCGTCTACCCGGCTGCCCACGTCTATACATACACTGCGCTCTATTATATCACCGACGAAGGAAAGGATATCTATCTGGCCCAGAATCTGTTCGCGGCCCTATACTTGGCAACATTGGCATTGGTGATGATATGCTACTGGAAGGCAAAAGTGAGTAAAAGAAGTCATGGAGTTAACTACAGCTATCCATGGATCTACTAACGCGAACCCGCCTCGGAAGGTTCCACTATACGTCTTCCCTCTCCTCGTCCTGTCGAAGCGACTCCATAGTGTTTTCGTCTTGCGCTGTTTCAATGACTGTTTCGCTGCCTTCTTCCTTTGGCTCGCCATATTTCTATTCCAACGACGCGATTGGACTGCCGGCAGCATTGCGTATGCATGGGGGTTGGGAATCAAGATGTCATTACTGCTAGTGCTACCGGCTGTGGGCATTGTCCTACTGCTCGGACGAGGGTTTTCGGGTAGTCTAAGATGCGCCAGGATCATGCTTTACATCCACATCGCCATTGCCACTCCCTTCTTACAAGAAAACGCCAAGGGTTACTTGAGCAAAGCCTTTGAGCTAACTAGACAGTTCTTCTTCAAATGGACCGTCAACTGGCGTTTTGTGGGAGAAGAAGTATTTCTTAGCCGGCCATTCTCCTTGGCCCTTCTCACCATGCATGCTTTGGTTCTAACGGGATTTATTGTCAACAAGTGGCTAAAGCCAGCTGGCAAGCCCCTATCGGCCATGATTATGGCGGTCTTGCAGCTAAAGTCTCCTTTCAGCCCCCAGGAAGAGCCTCAGGTAGCATCACGCGTTACACCCGAGTATGTGATGACTACCATTCTCTCCGCAAACGTTATAGGGCTTCTCTTCGCCCGTAGTCTGCATTACCAGTTCTACTCTTATCTCGCATGGTCCACTCCATACCTCCTCTGGCGCAGCGGAGTCCATCCCCTTATTCAATACGGACTCTGGGCTCTCCAGGAGTGGGCTTGGAATGTCTTCCCAAGCACCCCTATCAGCTCGGGCGTCGTGGTGGGCGTATTGGCTGTAACGGTTGGCTTAATAGCTATCCAGCAGGATAGCAGTGCTAGGTTTGTACCTGGCTATACTCGCGAGCGCAAGGATGATTGAGACCTTGGTGAAAGATGAAATATACGCATTCAGTCCTCATCCTCTGAATCTGACGGCGGCATCCGGCCCACAGTCGATTCTTCGTCCTCCGAATCATCATAGGTAGATCGGGGAAATTCATTAGGCCTAGACACACAGCATGAGCGTGATACTCCTTGGTAGCAAACCCAAATTTACTAACCAAAAACTCTGCTTCCGCCATTCCTTCTCGTCGCGGACGACATTTACAACCTCGCCCTCCACCTTGCCCTTTTGCTCCTTGGGGTCAGCCAGATCTACTAGGACATAGCCGCCGCGTTTGATCCAGATCGTGTTGCGGAAGCGAGCTGCAAGCTCGACGAGCACGGTACGCTTGTTGGGCAGAGAGCAGCTGTAGAGGCTGTTACCCTCGGCTTTGATCACCCTGGCGAGCGACTGCGACTGCGTGAGTTGGGCCGGGGGCGTAGTTGACTCCTCGGCAGCAGCACGTATGTCGCGCTTCGGTCGACCCATATTGGCTGATGATTCACCCGGCCTTTATTTTTTTCCCTCGACACTTATGATGTATGTACCTTACTTAGGTAGGTCATATATGGATGTAAAAGAAGAGTGTTTTTGTAAGATTACGCACTTTGTGCTGTGAACAAATTTAGTGAAGAACAGTATGAATGAATTCTTCAATATTGGAAAATTGATTAATTCAGCTTTGATGTGGTGGTCCGTGCATATTGTACTATTCATAGGTCACATGACCCTATTTTGACGTCCGTTACCCCTTTTCTAAGCCAGCAAACTATGGCAGTGCCTGACCGTTTGGTTACCGAGCTTCTACTCGTGGTTGCTGGCTATTATGGAGACGCTCGCTTACACCTTTTGAGCCTCAATTCTCTAAAATAGCCCGTGTTAATCGACGACTGGACAATGTAATCGGCCCAGAACTCTGACGGGTTGGTAGAGACTATGGAGCCTGTCACAAGGCGAAGCCTAGGAGATGCAGAATAACACCGATGTTGCGCGGGGATTTCTAACATCTCTTGGAGGCTATGAAGTTACATATACGTGTAAACTGTCTTGGCTCTATCTAGTCCCCCGTGTAGTCCCCATGAAGACCCTTGACAGAGTCTATATGACGACTCTCAGCTCCGTCATACCAAAAGACTACACGGCAAAAGCGAACCTGGTATAGGATTTCCCTTGTTTCCCTTCTCCTACGTCACATGTTTCGTGGGAATCGGTCCTTCCATAGGAACTCTCCAGACCATAACGAGCTACAATCGTGATTATATAATGTACTTGCGCTCAACCTATGGAGCTTTTGTACTATGGAATATCGCTACCATTCTCTCTATATCGTATTCCCTGACTACTATACAAAGGATCTAGTACGTGTTTTTTTTCCCTTGAGAACTACGCAACCCTGATCAAGTACTGTACTATACCTATTTTTAGTGTTATCGGGTGCCTTCCGAAGAGCAGAGTATAATGTCTGGGAGGTTTACGTATCATCTAGGTGTGGTAGAAGACACACCAACTTAATCTAATTGTTCCATATTTCTACGTGGTACATGAGGCTTGTCAACCTGGCGCAACACGCTCAGCCTAGTACTTTATATGAATATTAATATATGAGAGAAGTATGGGAGGTTCTACGGTCCAAATATCGACTGCCCTAGGTCCTATGTAGGTTATTTGGGCCTCGCTATTAAAATATAAAATCTATCTAGCAAGCACTTGCTGGTAACTTGCTAAGCAGTAAGATTAGAGAAGCTGTAGATCTTTACAAACATGCCTCCTGAGACTTCTTTGTCATTAGATCGCAAGCCCGTAAGACTTGATGTTGTTGAGACAGCTCTACCTACCCACATAGGTTTAAGTAGTACGTACCAAGGTAGAAGATCTGGAGTGAATGTTGGAGCTGGAAGATTATTAGTCCCTGTGGGGGTACGTAGGTACTAACCTAGGTGCGCACCCAAGGTACGAACACCTCTCCTGAGGCATCAACACCACCTTCCTGCCGAACTAAAACTTATAGGTCCCCGTAAACGTACATCTGGTATTCACAGAAAACTGCTATGGCCTAGTGGTTCCATCTTGGGATTTCTAAAAAACCTTAAAGCTAATGATTCTGTAGGTCGACGGTTCGAATCGCCCAGAGGGAAAAAACCACCAGTTCCAGACTTTGCAGCACCGAGCTCTCTCCGACGGTCTGAGGCCTGATGACCGCGATTCCAGGCTCTGGGGTTTGGTTGTTTGGCTGACGAGCCAGTGGAGGAAAACTGGGCGGACGAAGCGTCCACCATTGGGGGATGACTACTAACTATACTAACTAGCTGCAGCATCTAGCAATACAAGCCGCCCGGGCGGCGAATTTCCTCCCAATGGTAAGTTCAAACACCCACCACTAGACCATGGCAGCTTCTGTGAATTCTCTTTTTTTTTCATTTTTTTTTTCAAAAAGAATCCCTTCCTTCTTTCTCCTGAAATGGACATCGTCTTCTTTTTATTCTTTTTTTATCTTCCTTTTCATTACATCCTATCACGCCCTACTACATATAAATTAACTATCTTGGTACATTATTCTAACAGAATAAGAATAATTTTCATCAATGTCTCCTTTGAATCTCACGATACTCCATACCCATATATCTCTAACATCGCAACACCACACAAAAGCAACTTGATGACTAATAATTTCAATGTCGCATTAGGACAAGCGCCTGCGGTAGTTCAAATAGAGTGGCAGTAATGCTTTAACGGGTACCTAAGCAAACGGCCTAATGCAAGCACTATGTAGGGTAATCTGGGGTAAACCGCCCCCCCTAATTTTAGGTAGGTAGTTGGTCAAAGCCGTCAACGTCATGGATTAGACATCGCGTCATAGGGCGAGCTTTGAGTTTGCTTGCCTACCCTAGGTACTAGGTACTAAGTGAGTAACCCAATCTTGCAAATCTCATTACGCATTTCATAACTTTCCTTTTTACCAACTCGAAACATACTAGGTACTTACCTTTAGGTAAATAATAATAAAATCTACGGCATTGAATTCACTAACTAGTCAAACTCCATCACTTACTTCTAGACAATTGAAGATATACATACGTTACCTGCCTGTCAATCAACTGAAGATGGACCCCTCCGGACCCGCCCAGCCCCCCAAGAACACCGCCTACACGACGCCAGCGAACCCAGCGTCCTCAACCCCTTCCGAGGTGCAGCAACAACAACGACAGGGCGCACACGGCAACAACAACCCCTCACCCACCGACGAGCGCATGCCGCCCAGCAGCAGTCGCGTCGGCGGTGGCAGTAGCAGCATCGACGAAGCCACGCCCTCGAGCCTGGGCTACGGGATCCACGGCGCCCCAGCAGGCGAGGAGCGATTCGGGCGCACGGCGGCGGTGGTGGAGCAGGAAGAGCAAGGCGGCCATCGCGGCGAACTGGACGGCGAGCAGATGCGCGCGTCGGGCGAAGGCGATGTCGCGAGCGTGGTGAGGAGGAAGCCCGGGGCTACGGGCGAGCAGCCGGATTTGGCGAGTGATCTTGACCGGTAAGTAACTGCCCTACCCTACCTATGTCTGCAACCCACGAGAGAGAGACAGAGAGAAAGGGGGGGAAAGGGGGGAGCAGCTTGGATAGGTGTTACATGTGGCTTAAGCTAACGAATGGATGAATTCTGTAGGAAGAAGGAGGAACAGGCTTCGAAGAGGAACGCGATCAAGGAGGATAGGAAACACGGGAGAGCTCCGGATGGAGGGGATGCTAGGGCTGGGGTTGCGACGTGAGACGGGCGGGGAATTGGAGGCGTAGTCGCAGTGGCAGTGGCAGTGGCAGTCGCAATCGTCTTCGCTTGCGATGGGCTGTAGGATGGTTCGTGTGTGTGCATAGATACCTCCTATCGTGAGCCATAGGTAGGTGGCGTTTGGGATGGAAAAAGGGGGGGTTGATGCTTTTTTCTAGGACTTATCAGTGTCTGGTGATCAAAACTCATTGTAGACTAGTATTATGTAGGTACTATTCAATTATGATACAGCCTTAAGTAAAACCAGTTCGCTTGAATGACACTAAGGATGCATTCAAACGTGCTTAGCTCGTCTGCGGGGTCTTCATTAGGTAGGTGTCCAGGTATTGCTCAGCTGTGATGGGTTGCGGGGAACTTCAAGTTCCGAAGAGATTATAGCCAGAGGTTGTATTGTATAGATGTATACCGAAGCTGTCTTTCAAATCGAGAAAAAGACTAATAGCTGACGTTCACAATAATCTTACCTACTTACTAAGTACATACCAAGGTTTGATAGTATGATTCATACCCTTACTGATACCGACAATGCCGTTGCCCGTTGCTGACTGTAGTTATACTTAGTAACAATATCCATATCTACCAAGTTATCTGAGAGATATGAATTTCTGACCTACAAATGCCAAGTTTATACTATAAATTTGTGCGAGAAGCAGATTAACGCTTCAATGTTGAATCAAGTATCGTTCGGCCAGCTCCTGGCGCTTGGTGTGCTGTCGCTCGCATGCGGCCTGGTCTATTACACAATTCAAAGGACGAGGCACGAATATCGCATTCGAAAAATAGGGGGAGTACATGCGCCCTGCCTCGCATCGAATTTTCTCACAGGTAAGATGAGCACTGCAAAAGGTCGACCGAAGATGGTCGAATTCCGTCGGTTCCGATTGTTCCATTTCCTCTGACTGACGAGATACGAGATAAAAGTCACGCCGTGCTTCCTTGGTACAGCCAAGGCCCAGATGAGGAACCAACTCTTAGAGAGGTTTGATAGCTTCTTCGACCAGGCAACGCCCGAGTGTCCGAACTGTGTTGAGTTCCAAGCTAGGCCGAGAGAGAGATATCTAGTCACCAGAGACCCAGAACACATCAAAGCTGTGCTTACTACCCAATTCTCCGAATTTGGCAAGGGACCGGCATTTCATGACTTATGGCGACCCTTCCTCGGTGACAGTATCTTCACAACTGATGGCCAACTCTGGCACGACAGTCGCAGCTTGATCCGACCAATGTTCGTTAGAGATAGAGTCAGCGACCTGGCGACATTCGAAAGATGGGTGTCCATGCTCCTCTCAAAGCTCCCACCATCAGGCCAGGCGGTCGATATCATGGACCTTTTCTATCGAATGACTCTTGACATCACCACAGACTTCCTTCTCGGGGCGAGTGTCGATAGTTTGAGCAAGTATGCGACGCTCCTCGAAGTTAGTCACAGCTGGTTACTGACCTGACCAAAGCCCCCAGAGTGAATTCGCCAAAGCCTTCAACGATGTCCAAAGAACGCAGATGATGGTGACTGCCGTTGGGTAATAAATTAATCTTTAACTAATTTTACCCCTATGCGTTATCCGCTAACCTGTCATCGTAGACCGTTCGAGGTTTTATTCTCCCGCCGTCGCTACAAGGAAGGGATTAAGACGATTGATCGTTTTGTGATGCCCTATATCGAGCAAGCGTTGGCACTGCCGCAGGAAGAGCTTGAGAAGTTATCGAACTCTGACAAGCACTTTACGTTTCTGCATAGTATCGGGAGGTATACGCGTAATAGACAGGTCCTCCGCGACCAGATCATCGCTGTGCTCCTAGCCGGACGGGACACGACGGCTGCAACTCTGTCATGGGCTTTCTACCAGCTTTCACACTACCCCGACCAGTTCAAGAAGCTCCGCGACGAGGTCATCAACTCGGTCGGTCGTACGGGGACTCCTACATATGAGAGTCTCAAAGACATGCCTTACCTCAGACATACCTTGAACGAGACGCTGAGGCTGTACCCTGCAGTGCCGTACAATCTGCGAAGCGCACTAGAAGACACGACGCTGCCTACGACACCAGGCAACCCTCCCATTGCGGTGGTGAAAGGGGATGTCGTGATCTACAGCGCTCTCTCGATGCAGAGACGAAAGGACTTGTACCCCCCAACATCGGAGAAGTTTGAGGACCCCGATATATTTTCCCCTGAGAGGTGGGAAAACTGGACCCCAAAGCCGTGGCACTACGTACCCTTTAACGGAGGGCCACGCATATGCGTAGGACAGAACTTCGCCATGACGGAGATGGCATATTGTAGTAAGTAACTTATATGACGACATATGGTTTTATTTTATTTTTTTTACTAATACGGAGGGGGTGCTAATGTATATGTACCTATTTAGTCATCAGGATTCTCCAGAAATATGATCGTCTTGAGTACCGTCAAGATTGGCACTCGCAGCGACACGAAGCAGAGATCGTTGGCAAGCCAAGCCAGGGCGTTAAAGTTGCTCTATATGAAGAAAACGTAAAGCCGGACAATAATCCAGAGCCATTAGGCATTTAGGCGGTTCCAAGGATCTTTCATGAGTGTTCTGGGTGGATGAGTCTTACAATTTGGACCTTCTCCTTAATCACCCCTTTTTCCCTCTCCTTTCATTTTTGTCAGCTTAGAAACAACATATCACGTTGTATCAGAAATATGTCTCAGAAAGTATTGCAGATACTACGACCAAATTTTTTTTTATAGAATTCGTACATCAATAATCAAGCCATCTAATATGTGGTTACATATAACTACAAAAGGGGGGAAAGATGAAAAGGTGAAGATGCAGTCAGATGACTTGGGGGAATAGGTACAAAATACAAGGGGCATTGCGCTGTGCGACAAGGTCAAATTCCACTTTAAAGGCGCGTAAATTGCCTGCCCTAGGTAACTACCCTGTAAGCACTTAGCGGCAGGCGCGTCGCGTTTTACTTGTGCGGCTGCGTGACGATTAGTTAGTTAGTTATGGCCCATTTTTATTTTGGAACTTCTTAGGCAAGCAAGGGCCACCAGGCCCACCACAGTACGTAGCATGGTATTATCTAATTGGAACATTTCATCTTCAATGTTTCTCGTCTCCCATTCACCTCCCAAATAACTGAACCAAGTGGACCTACATTTCCCTTCAAGTTACTTGACCACCCATGGATCTAAACTTGAATTTAAATGCGCTATCAATTTCAATATGACGACTGACAGGACACCCAACTCCGGTCGACGGAAGCGAAGTCGTCCTCAAGATGAGCTCGATTCATCACCAGCTGCTACGCCCAGCGTAATATCTGCCGTCAAGAGACGCCGCCTCGATAACCTCGCCAATTCTTCGCCATCCACTCCTAAAGGCTTTTCTGCCATCACCTCCGCAATTAGCAATGCTATTGGCTTAGGTAGATTTGGGAACGCCAAAAAGAATGCAGCTACGAACCAGTCAAAATCGACAAATGATGTCGATTACGCCGTCCCCGAATCCCCGAATGACGACGAAGAAACCAAGAGGCTACTGAGTCTCCCTATAAAACATAAGAAGCTTGGCCAAATACTACCGAAAAACACCAAGCCTCCTCCCGCCAATATCTACGATGTCCCTGATTCAGAAGAGGAGAACGACAATGCCCCAGAGACAAGTCAAGATGAGCTTGGAACCACGCTCTCCAGGAGGACGAAGAGTACACCTAGGGTATCGACTACTTCCTCGAGTAAAAGCGTGGGCGCACGATTACTTGAATCACGAAAAAAGAAGCCAGCTAGCCCAATTCGCGATGAAGCAACCCAGGATATACCACGGAGGAGGGGGCGATCTTCAAAGGCCCCTACTGAGCCGGTTGGACGCATGCCGAGTTCCAAGCCGGCCAAAGTTCAATCTGCAGCACGCAACGCAAAACCATCGCTTGCGGCTAAGGTGCCAGATGTCAAGGGCATACTCTCGCCGCAAAAGAAGAAGCCTGGTCGACCGCTGAAGAGCGTTGCTTTCAGCGAGGAAGGTCGTGATAAAGAGAATGAGATATTCTTCGAAGATATACAATCGAAGCCTAACAAAAAGAAGAGTTCCAGAAAGATGATAGATGTTACTCCTGACGAGATTCCAGCTTCCGGGGATGAAAGCGATTCACAAGAGAGCGAAGACGACGAAGTGTGTGCTATATGTTCAAACCCAGACTCGGAACCTCCGAACGAAATCATTTTCTGCGAAGGTTGCGATATGGCTGTTCATCAGAAATGCTATAACGTACCCGTCATCCCCAAGGGTGACTGGCTCTGTAGGAATTGCTCACAAGACGATGTTTTGCCTCAACCGACAAAGCTCCCCAAAGCGGCCCCTAAGAAACAAATTCGCGCGACAAAAACTTCCAAGGTTCCTACTATTCCAAACTTTGAGCAACATTTACGACAAATGCAACGAGTACTGTTAGATCGTTGTTCTGGAAACCGTCGTATTAAGCTTTGTGGCCAGACGGAAGCTTATGAGAAGGCATTTCAGCTAGTAGAACAAACGGTATTAGCTGGGGAGGGCAACTCAATGATGGTTATTGGTGCGAGAGGTTGCGGCAAGACTACGTTAATGGAAGAGATTGTATCCAATCTCAGAGCTAGCCATCAAGAAGCCTTCCACGTTGTGCGCCTCAATGGATTTATCCATACCGATGACAAGCTGGCTCTTAAAGAGATATGGCGTCAACTGGGCAAAGAGATGGACCTCGAAGACGATGCCAGTAACAAGGTACGAATGTGTCAATATAATACGCTCATTATCACGATGGCTAACTTCAACTAGACCAGCAATTATGCCGATACGATGGCTTCTCTGTTAGCTCTCTTGTCTCATCCGGCAGAAATCATGGGAGCCGAGGATGGTGTAACCTCCAAGTCCGTCATATTCATCATTGACGAGTTCGACCTGTTTGCTACACATGCACGCCAAACTCTGTTGTATAACTTATTCGACATTGCCCAAGCAAGGAAAGCACCAATTGCGGTACTAGGCCTAACTACAAGAATAGACGTGGTAGAGAGTTTAGAGAAGAGGGTGAAAAGTCGATTCAGCCACCGATATGTCTATATGTCTCTTCCCAAGACCCTGGCGGCCTACTGGGACACGTGTAAGCAGGGGCTTTCCGTAGACGAGGAGGACCTGGGCCACGAAGGCTTCGATACTAGCCTAAAGGGGCTATATGAGTTTCGAGATTATTGGGACAATAAGATTGAGGTAATATTTTGCCACTATATATTAGAAGGGTTGTGGTCTCAACTAATGCTTATTTCTCAGGCTCTGCGTAAAACGCCGAATTTCGAGGACCACCTCGAATACAACTATTACACATCCAAATCCGTACCGGCATTTCTCACGTCGTGCATTCTACCACTCTCGACAGTTTCTGCTTCTTCATTGGATTTAGTGGTACCTTCACCGTCGGCAGGATGCATTTCCCTCGAGCCTTCGTCTTCGAAGTTTCATCTGCTGGCAACGCTGTCAGACCTAGAGTTGGCACTGCTCATTTCAGCGGCGCGGCTCGATATCGTTGCTCATACGGACACGGTAAATTTCGCGATGGCATATGATGAGTATAGCTCACAGATGGGCAAGCAACGAGTTCAGTCAGCTACATCTGGCATGTTAGCCATAGGAGCTGGCTCAAGAACGTGGGGCCGGGGTGTAGCTGCGGTAGCCTGGGAACGTCTGGTTTCCCTCGGCATACTGATCCCAGCTGGCATAGGTGGTAGAAGCAACGCTGCGCATGGCGGCCTAGAGGGCAAGATGTGGAAACTGGATGTTGCGCTCGATGAGATACCGGCAGCTTGCGAACTTCCGGGATTCCTTGCCCGATGGTGCAGTCAAATCTGATTGCCTGCCTACCTAGGTACCTTACCATGCCGGTACATAGTAGTAGGGGCCTATTAGGCAGTCACGGATAGTAGCAGTGCCGGGATTTTGCAAATAAAGAATGCCTCAAGGCTACATACCTGGACTATCTATAGGTATATACTACATAATGTATGTGAGTTAATGGCCAGGTATAAAAACGATTGCCAGGCCAAGGGTTAATTGGTGACATCCATTCAATGTTAGCCCCAAAGCTACTAGGTACTAACCTACATGTAGGTACCTAACCTAGTACCTAGTACTTGCCGAGGAGCTACAATAAATAGTATTGGAGGTTACGAACGAGCCAACCAAAGGATTCTTAGTATTACAAGGAGTTGTAGTGCAGTTGTAGTGCAGTGGTAGTGCATATATGTTCCGTAAGCCGTTCTATTTTAGGGTATTCAGCAGTACTACGGTTGACATAGCCTCATCAATAGCAGGGAAAGGCTGGCAGAAACGCCAACAATGCATTAGGAGTAGGATGTGACCAATCAATTGGATTAGAAATGATGCATGATGCATGTTTCGTCTTTACTACTAGTAGTACTATTATGTATTTTTCCATTTCAACGAATGCAAAGAAGTTTTACCTTTTTCCTACTTCGTATGAAACAATTTGGATTCCTTTATGAGAATATCTACACGTATTATATCATTCCTACTTGTTAATTAACAACCTTAGACCTTTTTTTCTTTTTTTTTCTTTAAATTCATTCTCACCGTTATCTGCCTGATACTCACCCAGATACTTGGGTCAGCTTATTCCAGCTACCCTCTATATACGCCCTCTACATCATACCAAAAATAAGATCTGGCCCTACCTATGTAAGGTATTAATCTAATAGCTATTATTGGTACCTACCTATCCCTTGTCTAGCGGGTTACTTGCTCGTTTATCGGATCTCATCTTCAACGTTCATCCTCCCCAACTTATCACACGCAGCTTTTTTTTTTCTGCAAGTAATTTATCTCCCTTGCAAAACTGATCAGGCAGATAGATAGTAAGATAAAGAAAGCGTCGTGGTTTTCTCATTCCAGGGATCGCTTGGCATCCCTTTTTTTCTTTTCCTTTTTCTAAAAAAAAAAAGTTCTGCTTCTTCTGGACGGGGTTCGCTAGTTTGATACCCAACTTTTTATTCTTCAAAAGCCGAATGACGGCTGATGATCGAAGCGACCCAGGGAAAAACAGAAGGAAGGAATAAGAAAGGGGGGGCCAAAAAAATGGCACTATCGAAGCGAACGAACTTCACAACGATCTCGCCGCTGCCGGCGGGCGTGACACGGGAGGCCGTCATAAGCTTCCTGCACAGCCACGTGGAGATGATCGACCTGAATCCGCTGGTGATCGAGCGGCACCCGATCCCTCCGCCGGCCCATGCGCCGGCCGAGGAGCAGCGGTGCGTGTGGTGGAGCCTGACGGACAAGATATCGTACCTGCCCGGCGGCGTCGCTACCGGCGACATCACCTACACCGCCGCCTTCCACGATCTCCCCACCGGCATCCAGACCCACGTGTACGCTCCCATGGGCACTGAGATCCGCGAGCGTTGGAGCCTCAACGGCACCCTGCCCGGCGAGCCGCTCGAGCCGGTGGAGCTTGGCATTGGGGCGCCGAGGCAGGGGCTTTACTTGCGCGAGGTAACTTTTTTTTTTCTCCTTTCCCTTACTTCTAGTTTAACCTACACTCTCCCTCCTTCTCTTCCTCTCGCCCTCCCCCCCCCTTCCAAGATGCTAGCTGGGTATCAGTAGTATATAAGTAGCGGGGTCAAGTCCTATAACTAACACGTACGAAACAGGACGTCGAGCTAAGATGCAACTTCATGATGTCCTCCTTCGTCAAGAAGACGCTGAAGAAAGCCCACGGGACCCTCGTGGCCAGGCTGCTGGAGAAGTCGCAGGTGACGAGCCGTGCCACCCCGGCGGCGGTGCAGGCCGCTGTGGCAACGCACCATACCGGGTCCAGCGTGGGAAGCTACTCCTCTGCCACTAGTAACCGTGCCACCCCCACGTCATCATCAGGAGCAAGAGCAGGGTCGATCCCCACGCACTCCGTACAGCAACGTCCGGGGTCGAGCCCGTATGCTAGCCGGGAGACCGAGCCATTCCAGGCGCACCCGTACGGTCATAGGTCGGCATTGAGCGCTGGTCATCATAACCATAACCCCTTTCCCGAACCGCTACGTATCAACCGGATGCCATCTCCGGGTAGTGCGGGATATGGGCAGTCCCAAGGAAGAGGAGGGGGAGGAGTCCCGCCCAGGAAGAATGGGGATTGGAATGATGCGCGAGCACAGGGCCAACATCCGTCCAGGGCGGGGTTTGCGGCGGAGCTGGAGTGATGGGTGAGGTCTTCTGCTGCTAGTGTTGCTAGCAGATGAGCGAGCGAGCGAGCAAGTCAGTCTCTAATTGGGGGATAGGTTTAAGGGGAGTTTGTTTAGCATTATGGGCGTCTGACGGCGGTTCCTGGGAAGCAAGGTACAACAAGATTGCCTGGGTATCGGTACCTATCTCAGCATTATACTCACGTATCTACAGGAATAGGAGTGTTGGCGGGAGCGAACAAGATATGGCTAAGGTTGTGCGTAGGTAGTTACTAGGTATACCCCGATATTTTCTGGTTGTCGAATCAAATGTTACTATCCACTATGGTCGTTTGTTTGATTGTTTTGCATTCCAAAGGTTGTGACAGCAGAAAGCTACCTAGTAAGCTATTAGAGAACGTACCTAGGTACCCTTATTCTAGTACTTATATGCTCTCAACGTAATATACCTAGGTAGCCTACCTCCCTAGATACCAGTCGAGACCAGGTAGGTAGCAGAGACTCGTGGATATCATTGTTGAGTCCACCACTTCATCGCATAGCTACCTACACAACTAACTTCCTCTCTGCCTTTATATCAGTCTAACTAGGTAGTCGGACGTCCACCGCGGTATCGTTTAACTGATATCAGCTATAGCCCTCAAACCAGGTAGCCAGATCTAGGTCAGCAGCTTTTCACTCTAGGTATGCAGTCACGAGCATTTACATCCATGATGGAGCTGGGCTGGGCCTTTCGATAGTCGATAGACGATGATTAGATAGCCAAGAATGTGGGTTCTAGGGTTATTGCATTGTAAGCTTTTATCGATCTGTCATGCTGGCCAGCGGAACGGATAAAGTACCTTGGGTATTATTCGGGTAGCCAGCTCGGCTACCTAGCTAGTATGCTTCAAGTGCCATGAGAAGGGCTTTGTCGGCTTGAAGGAAGTAAGGGCTTCGGAGGAAGATAGATACCCGCGTACTCGCCCCCTATCTTGGATATGAAATCTGAGGTAGCTATATCTACCTAATGTAGATATCTAGTAGTCATACGGTATAGATACTAGGTAGCCTATATCTCTGATATACATCATTTGCATCGATTCCGAAGTTCGGTAGGATGTCTTCGTGACACTGGACCCAACATTCCAGCTTGCGAAGGTGTTATCCTCGACTTTTCAACTCCCTACCTTAGTTAGGTATTGACAACCTTAGATAACCGTGTACGCCAGCCTACATGGAAAATCTTACGTTGTCAATACCTAAGGTAGGGGAGTTGAAAAGTCGAGGGATTATGAAAACGACTCAGCGGACACAGTTCAACAAATGATCTGTCTGCTATCTTCCATATCAGATATGTGCTTCTAAGGTAGGTAGTTCGATAAAGGGAGCCTGAAGAGTTTACAACCCACCCTCCCCCTCCTCTTTGAGGCCATGTAATTTGGTAACTAGCATGCAAGTCATTCGAATACCTAGTGCCACCAAGGCTTTGTTGTTAAAGGGCCTCCTGTGACGAAGTTTACGAGGCGATGTCTCTTTCCTTCACAGCTTACCGCTGTAAAGTGAAGCGAGGTGGTCTATCCGGCTGTCGGGTGTGTTGGCTCACGGTCACGTATCTACGAAATGCCGTCCTTTTATCTGCCTACCTTGTTTATGTGCTTGGTTTGCTGTTTGGGTTTGACTGTTAGAGTGAGGCTAGTAAATGCACTTCTCTGGTTGAGGAGGCAGTTATCCTACTAGGCAGGCCTTTGTCGAATGTGATCCGACGGTTAAGTTCCGTCCCCAGCCCTCCCTTGTTTTTCACTTGAGGCTCAGGATACAGTGCGTACTATATAGATACTACTAGGGTAGGTATACATGTAGGTGAGTAGGCATGGATATCATATGATAGTTGTGGTGATGCTAAACCAGAAGCAACCTATACCAAAACCTGTGAAGCTTTCGCTGAAAAATACCATTTCACTTTTGCTGGATGTCGTAGAGCGGAGGTCACTCCGATGCTCTATAGGTAGCTCTTTTCTAGAATATTCGGAATATTGTAAATGCCTAGCTAGGTATCTACGAAGTTTTGGGCAAACGCTGTGAGGCATAATACGTAATAGATAGTTCCCCTGGTGTACCAATGTCTCCTATCTTACTACCTAGGTCTGATAATAAGAGGATGAAAAAAAAGGATGAAAAATGACCAAAGAATGAAAACCTCGTAGTCTATGTACCTAGGTAGCTAGGCAGTTATTGTACCAGCCCGGCAAAGCCCATGAGACGTTACCTTTACGACGAGTATGTGTCGCACATCATTGCCCGTACAGAATATATTTCCGAAGCCGAACTTACACTAGCCGGATCCCTTCTCCAGCGGTCGGGTCTCTAACTCCAGAGAGTGACGATACGTGGACCGTTATATGTGTGCCTGGTATTCAGTTCATACGTACCGTGCCTAGGTAAGCTACTAGGTATAATACCTGGGTATGATTAGTATGTAGTATTCTCTGATCTACGCCACCTTGGCAACCATCGAAGAGCATATGGCGGTCTTCCTTCTATTTCCCCTTTTCCCTGGCTATCATCTGGGGGCCCCTGGGTTTCCCCCTTCTCCAGGGACCCGGATATGGTATGTATGTATGTTTTTTGTGTGTTAGAATACCTTAGGTTAGATTGCTGTCATGCCTTTCCCTCTGGGGTGGACCGCAATATTCCGCAGAACACTACCGTGATATCAAGTAGTAGTAGTGGCCTTCACATATGTACATTCAGCTCTCAAAGAACTAATTAGATCCTGATCTTAATAAGGTCTAATTAAGTTCTGGGGTTGATGAAGCTCCACGCCTCAGGCTGAAGATTCCTAGTTCCTCCTTGTAAGCTTATGTAGGTGCCTAGGAAGGCAGAGCTCAACGCCCGAATAGGGCTTCAGACTCGGGATCAGACTTGTGATTAGACATGGGACTTGTGGAATGCAGAACAGATCTAATTAAACCCCGAACAATGTGATTGATCATACATAGCAGATCTTGTATCTGGGCAGGTACTAGGTAGGCAGTGTGACTCCAACTACTACTCACAGAAGAGATCAGTCTTATTATAAGTAAGCAACGAGATGAATGCAAACTCGAAACCCAAAGTGGTGATGTATCTATATCTCCATAGCAAGAGAATCATGGAACTGTTTATGGACTACTACAATGCAGGTAGGTATTTATATCATATTACTACAGGAGCAGGTAACTACTATCCTAAGCATAAGCAGATGCCTTAGAAGCATTTGATACTAGATAGACACGGAAAGTTCCATGAGAAAGCATTAGTGCCCTCTAGAGCGAGCGGTAGAGATTGAGAATAAGATATAACTAGTTTAATCTGATATCTGATATATCAGGCACCTTCTTCCTCCCTTGAACCCTTTTTTTTCCAACCACCCCCTTGGATTATCCTATTCTCCCTTACTTAACTAATCTGGCACCTGTGTGTCTAGGTCAGCTGACATAGCTTTGAATAAAGCTGAACGACCCTGACGCTTTCACAAGTATACTACATACCTAGGTACACTAGTATGTAGACATGTATGCCAAGCCGAATAAAGCTTAACCACAACGACATCACTGCCCAGTACCCCTATATACTTAGGTATAGTGTAGATGTGTGTGTGTGTGTGTACCTAGGTAGTATGCATCCAGATATCATGATTACCAATCCAGAAGAAATATAGATTCCCTTAGGCTTTTGAAAATACGGAAAGATTCGAAGCTTGAGAACGCGTGTCATGATCGCTTTTGCACACATATACCTAGATATGCCTACCTGTACATACTAGGTACCTTACCAAGTAACTACACAAATAAGTCCACAAGTTCCTGACCTCAGTGCGGTATATTGTTGCTCACAGCAATCAATAACAATGTACATATAACTACCTATCCATATGGATATCTACATACTGACCTACCTACCTACCTACCTAGCATAGAGTAGTGTAACTACAGCTCAGTAGTGTATACACTATAACCCACGCCGCAGCAGCACGTGCCCAACAAACCCCAACACCGCTTGACTGGTTGGCATGTGCCAGGTGGGTAAGGTTCGAAAAGAAGCGGGAGATGGTCCAAGAACTTTCGGACTATCTGCTTGGCAAGGATCCTCTCTCCTAAAAAGACATACATTACATACCTATGGCTATCCATCAGGCTACAGCTTACCCGTGTATATATCTGTTAGTAGTTAGTGTTGCGAAGGTTTCCCTCCCCACTGAAAAAAAAAAAAAAAAGAACCGAACCCGAACCACAATCCCCAAAGAAGCGGTATGTACCTAGGTAAAGTAGTTAGGTATGTAGGTATTGATGTTACATACAATGTATGTACATACCTAACTACGCAAAGGTAAAGGCTGTGTGTGCGACACACACGAACCTAATTGCTGCTGCCCTCGCTCTTTAGGGGGAATCGTTGTCGTCAACTGTGGGCGCTAGAGGTGAGAATACGGATAACGACAAAGTATATACAACTGTGCCTAGGTATAGTTATACTAAGTAGGTAGTTCGAAACTCTATATATGTAGTGTTATGAGACTAGCTGCGCTGTATATAGTTATGTAGATGTCATGTCATGTTTACGTGTTGAATAGGGGTTCTGGCGTCCCCTTACTTCGAGGGAGAAGAAGAACCACACCACAAAAAAGGGGGGGAGGAGACGAGGGGAGTGGGTGGTGTTTGATATGTCGTTCGCGAACTCCTACCCCCGGTGGACGTATGTGGGTTGCGTAAGTGCGCAAGACATTGCAAATGCGTTCCGTTCCGCGGAGCGGAATTGAAACTTGAATTTTTAGTCTGCTCGTCACGAGGAAACCTGCAAACCTCAGACCGGCCGAGTCTTGGCCAAGCGCCCCCCTTATCACGGTACTGAACAGTGTGACAGTGGAGATGCGTGTTTCCCCCATTGTCGCGAATCGCCGGGCTTCTTATCCGCTGCAGAGCGGATAAGAGAATTGTGGTACGAGTAAACATGTAGGTAAGGAACTTGGGTTGTTAGGAGGGAGAGAAACGTCGACATAAAACAAAAAAAAAGAAAAATAGGGCTGGTCGACTTAAGCTTTTACAGGGCCATAGTTAACGACGCAACACAAGTCGAGCCCGGCTCACGGCACATGTTATGCAAGGGCTCGTCTCATCGGAGCACGTGGGAGGTTCCAAAGAGAGAGACCCTGTGCGATGAACCGACCTTGGAAGGGGGAGGGAAGGTTGTGAAGCATTGTTGGGATGTTGTCATATTCGAACAGAGACACAGACAGCGTCAGTGTCACGCCACTAGGAGCATTTCCGAGGGCGAGGAAAAAAAAAAAAAAAGCAACACATGGACTTTCTTCTTTTCCGATCGTCGACATGGACCCTGAACTTTGCGTACATGCCTACGTGATTCAGGGGAGGGGGAGGGGGGGGGGAATCTTGAAGGCGACGAATGAACAGACCCTTTTCCTTCTCCATTCCGTGTAAGGCGAGACAAGGCAACGCAAGCGGCGCGGAGAAGTAAATACCTACCTAGTGTAGGTATGTAAGGTTCCTGTACTTAAAAGCAAAGCACGGAGTACGTGTGTCACCCACGTGCGAGAGTCGCCCAGATGCGCCACCGGGAATGCGAGATACGGCGGCACGGGAAGTTCAGTTCGCCTTATGTAGCTGGGGCCCTCGGACGATCATTGATAATGTCTTTTTCTCTGGTCGTACGTACGTATTGTACATAGTATGTAACTACATGCTTGTGTAATGTAGTTACGGTATGAAACCTCCCACACGACAGGGCGTTGCTGGCGTTCCTGAAGACCTCCCACGGTTCCGAGGTTGACGATACCTGCCTCCATAGCGAACAAGGTAAGTACGTACTGCAATAAATAAAAGTGAAGCCATACCGGAAATAGGCAGTCTGAACTATTGTCTACATGTAGTGTAGTGTATGTATTGTATCTACATCGTAACCTGGAAATCAGTTTCAAAGGCCAGATCGAAGCCCTATGACATATGACTTACCTTGTTGTATCCAAAAAGGGGAAAGCCTTATGTATGTAGCAGGCCTGGATATATGCACATATATGCACATACATATGTATAAGGGTAGGTATAAGGGTAGGTATATACCGTACCGTATGCATTAATACTATGTATGCGGTAACTTGTAAGGCTTTTTCATTTATTTAATTTTCTTAATACATTGCGTGCAGTTCTCGGGACCCGGGAGTGGATTCACTTTTTTTCTAAGAAAATTTCTCCGTGTCTTACTTTTTTGTCTGCCACGTGTGAGATCGCCAAGGAATATTTATCATTCTTTTCTTTTTCTTCTTCTTCTTTTTTGTTATTTTTAAAACCCACTTCTCTTCTCTTATTCATCATTCCCTCTATATAACAAATACTAATTTGCCCAAAAAGAAAAAAAAGATTTAAGAAAAAAAATGAGAAGTGATTGAAAGCATGTTCTGACAAGAAAATGCAAGGTAATAAACCCTGTCCGCCATGCTTGCCACGCCGGGTACGGCACTGTACCTACCTAGCTTAAGGCAAGCCGGGGATGGGAAGGGGGGGGACAGGATAAGAGATGGAGGTGGGAGCACTGAGATGGGACATCATGGGAGGTTTCTTTCCAAGTTCGCTATCTACACTATGACAACTTCCAAGCAAATAATTCCCTGACGGTGCCACGCTCACTCATCCTATTGCCCATTGTCTTATCCTGGTAAAGGAGATATCGGGGAGGCTGGCTGGTCCCTGTTAACCGTTCAATGCCCATATAGCGGTGTGATAAGATTGAGTTAGGTAACGAACGATCCAGTACAAGTTCATGTATGTATTGTATGTATTGTATGTACTATACTTACAACATGAATTACTTCAAGTACCTACACTACACACTACATACCTACACTATGTATTGTACACAATGTACTACACAGGTAGCATGTAGCCAAGGCAATTCAAAGTATTCAACGTTGTACAATACAATACATTACAATATACACACTATCCCTCATCCATGCGCACACTATTAGCTATATCTTAGGTATTATAGCGTCTAGGAAACGTCTAGGAGAAGTGAAACAGGCCGTCAAATTTAGCCAGGGTTAACCTAGATGGTGCTAACCCAAGCAGGATGTTTCTACCTCTACACAAGGAATGTACACACTTAACTAGATACAGTATCTAAAGATTCTAAAGCAGTTAAGACGTTAATAAAGACACATGATCTACCTTCACACTTATAGCTACCTGGGTACCCAATATACGGCACCTACCCTTGTTGTCGATACGGTACAGTTGAACCTGGTTTTTATAAAGTTGGGAGAAGAAAAGAAGTTCTATATTCGTATCTTATATAAGCAAGACAAGCTTATAGGTAGGTAGGTAGACTTCAAATCTTAGTTATAGGTCATCTCTCTTCACGATACTGATACATATGGAAAAGAGTCAATATCGAACTACACTACATACGACAACTCCGCTTCGCGTGGGGGTTCATACAAGCGGTATAGCATAGCATAGCTTGTACCACTACACTATTATATCAATTTATATGTAGTGCAATACCTCCGTAGCTCGACCTCGCTTGATTTAGATGAACAGAGACATAGTGCATACCTACTTAGGTAGCTATATGAATGGCGCCTAAATCTAAGTGCCTAAGCTACTACCATAGTATGGAGGAGCACGTGGTGATCGGGAGCCTCCTAGCTTCGATGGCCACATCTCCTTTAACTAGCTTCTTGGTGGAGCCACCCTTTGATGCGCTTGCACAGCAGAGAGAGGAGAGAGCTTCTCTCACCGATGAAGGGTATCCTTGTATTGCTAAATTCTGATAGCACAGAGCACTATGCGTACTATTTACTTCGTAGTCTAACCGCTGAACGAGACCGGGACCGAGCCTTGTCCGCCATGTGTATGTATGTATCGTATTGTACATACCATAGCGAATACACGTGTAGTTTAATAGTAGGTATCTAGGTGTGTTGTGCAGGGGCGAGCGGCGGGAATGGACACGAGCGAAAGACGGGGCTCGAGGTCCATCTCCGTCATCCTGTTCGGACTCAACCTTGACAACAATCCGGCCTGATCTACCTGTCGTAGCGCCTTACGAAGAAGCTCGTATGGTACCTAGTTATAATAGAACATGACCTGGCAAAGGTCTTTTGTCAGTCCAAGGTTTGATGAAGCATGAATATACTTGTAAGGCAGCTCCTGAATTATTCGGTTAATCAGTCAATGGCCTTGTCTACCTTGGAGACTAGCTCATCGAGATGGATTCAAGGCCAAAACACGCCAAATCCTTCCTCCGTCTTCTAGTATCATGGATATGGGTAGGATAGTTCTTGGCATCGTTAACACCGCTAGAGGGCCTGACCCCGAGCCTGTCAGCCAGATGGATCTTTGACACCTGCCTAGTGTTTTTAGTGCTGAAAAGGGGCCATGCTAGCTTTAGGCATTGTATCTGAAATTGGATCTGAGTAAAGGATATTCGGAAACGTTTCGCGATCCTGTCTTGGGCTGAAAACTGACGTATTTTTGCATTTTGATATCTTGATATGTTTGTATTTTTTTTGTACCTAATATGAAAGCATCCTTGAGATCGTAAGTGCCGACGAAATTGCTAAAAGGGCTTAGAAATGCACAATAGGTGGGTATCATCTACACCAGATGCTGACTTGTTTGAAATCAACTGATCCAAGAATACACTGTCCGAGGAATGGCCACTTCATGCGAAAGAGACTCGGCTTTCTGCCTCATCATGCATGCTTTTATTATGTGGCATGGAAATCCCAACGTAAGAGGGTTGTCTGATGTGGCTGTCATCATATAATTAATATAGCATTGAGCCACTGAGCTAGAGAATGCAAAGGATCCATGGATCCATGGATCCCATGATATACATGTATGGAGCTGAGTGTGACTTCCCATCTCAATATTGCCACAGCAACTGGATGTATAATGAAGTGAGCTGAGATCTGGACATCTGTATGACTGTATTATCGTGAACCCTAATGGAGTCACTGAATCCTATCACGAACGGATGACGGCATAGAGAAAAACATACATACTCGACCCTCTAAGGGGTCTTAAAAGGGTACATATACTACTAGTATTGTACTAACGATATTGCTGTTTGTCATTGACGCGCATTCGGGAACGGGACATGACTTAGTATCTCACATGGCATGGCACATGGCGAGCGATTCCGGACTCCCGGGTTAACATTCTCTGTGGTACATAGGTAGTAGCGAAGTCTGATGCATCTAGCCGCGCCCGCAGATTTGGCGAGACAGAGTCCAGACTCCCAGACTCCCAGACTCCCAGACTCCTGGACTCTATGATCAAGAAGGACCAAAATATCCGAGAAGAATGGTTCCAGAATCAACCCAGGGTGGATCTGATCATTTGCCATGTGGCATTTACCGCAGGATCGGGAATTTAATCCTTTCCAAGACGGGGTCAACCACAAGTTAGTGGCCTATATAGTAGATACTATACGTACATACTGTATAATATATAGTGTAGTAGCAGTACTTGAGGGCTACACTAGCAGGTGGTTCGATTCGACTTGAGGCTAGTACTAGGTAGTTAGCAACTTCAATGCTGAGTTATTCGTTCCCATATGTACATATTAGTGATATAGGCTAAGAAAATAGATTAGACAAATCAAGACGATAAAATATAATATAGGCCACGGAGATAAGGCATTAATCTCACGTATTCATGATGCTGTTGAAAAAGGAAAGGAAAAAGAATAATAAGAAGAAGTGGAAGTGGGATTCGAATAGGGAATTATGTAAGACGGGTAAGTCCATGACAGTTATTAAGGATTTTAGGATTTTAATATACCTAGGTTAGGCAGTTATAGTACGGAGTATGCATTCCTATTCACTAACGCCGGTGCTAAGCAGCTGGTGCTATGTAGCCTGTAGGTTAAAGCAAGTCAAGCCTGTCAAGGTAATAAACTAAAGGCCTCCACTACATAGGAATAAGAGTAATAAAAAGCGAGAAGTCACAATCCGTGATGGTGCTGGTGGTTTCAATTATAGTAATATATGTAAGTAGGCAGAACTACGGTTATACGATTATACAATGTTGGGGTAGTTGATCAGGTAGGTACCTACATGATGATAAAATAGTTATTAGTTACAGCAGCCGCGTGTTAGATCTGCATCAGAGATGCCTGATAGGGCCGGCAATATCTACAGCACGCGAAAAAGATCCCTACTTAAAGTTCGTGGCTTCTTGTTTCCACGTGGCGACTCCACTCCAATAACGTGGGCTTGTTTCGGCAAAGATTTCTTAAAAATCAATCGTAATACATACCTACAGCAAAGTACCCGGTACAAAAAGTTGTTGGAGTTGGTTGTCACTTTTCACTTTTTTATTTTTTTTATTTTTAATATTTTTGCTGTCTTGTCTTTTTTTAGCTATTAATTAACCCTCTTTTCGCAGGTAGCAAAATCGCAAAATAGCAAAATAATCGGCAATGCAACGCGTTAAAAACAGCTTTCATCGATTTCCTAATTGGAGTTAGTTGGATTAGTTACAATAAATTGAAAAAAGATACACAGTAGAAGGAGAAAAAGGGAGTCAGAAATCATCAACAATGGCTGCTGCATCGGGTTTTGAATGGATGCCGAGGAATTCGTGCAGCCGTCCATCTACGCTATTTAGAACATACATAATTACCTTGCCTTTCGTAGGTGATTCGAGATTCAATGTTGTGAGATTCAAGCGTTTATATATATTAACTACAGGTATAATAGGTATGTGTATCTTACGGATGCTTGGCGTTGCTAAAACGCTACTAACTAAGTTGGTATACAATAACTACTGCAAGAAGTATCACGAAACCAAAGAACCCGCGCGTAGTAAGCATTATAGATATAACGGCTAAAACGCGGTTTTGGCAACATCAGGAGGGGCGTGGCTTTAATCATACGAAATCAATCGAGATAGTTACCTGTGAAGGTAGGTACCTAACCTTACCAGATGTTCTGTCTGGTACTTGTACAATACAATACAATACAGCTACCTATGTAGGCTACCAGCTAGGTAGGTATCGTGCATGATGCTACCTTCTCTCATAACATCATCAAACCTCCTGCGAACCGAACATGAGGATAATGCATTGTGTTCTACACTAGTGGGCCGTCCCGGCATTGCCACTCAAAGATGTTTGCTTAACTTGGCGAGCCTATCATTATAGCGTTTGTATTGTACGTAGATTCATCAGTGTTCGGACT